AATATAAGGTTAATATTTATATACCTTTACTATAATAACGCTTTATATAAATAAATTATATTAATATATTTATTATAACATTTTATCTTATATACTTATATAATTAAACTTTTTATTTTACATTTAATTAATAAATTAATTATATATTAAGTTAAGGATAACCTAATTAAAGAAAAAGGAATAATTATTATATTAAAGTATTTTAAAGCCCTTAAAGTATATATACTTTATATATATTACGTACCCTTCTTATATACGCTTTAAAGGAGATTCTTCCTTTCTTTAAGCTTTAGCTTTATTAAATACCTATTATAAGATTAAAGAAACTTATAACATTATATCTAACCTTTAAGATTTAACCTACCTATAATATTAAATTAATAAAATAAAGGTTATTTTTTAATTAAAAGGGATTTTAAAGTTTAATTTAACTTAGTTTAATTTAAATACATTATTTAAATATTATAAATCTTAAATCTTTACCTTAAACTAAATAGTAAAAATATTAGCTAATTATATTATATCTATTTTTATATATAAATATAATAGTTTTATTAATTATATATTATTTAGGATTATCTTTTCTCCTTTAAGTTATTAATCTACTTCTTTTTATATTTATTTTAAGCTCTTTTTATTAATATATTTAATTAACCTTAATCTTAATTATAATAACTTTAATAACTTTTCCTTTAATTACTTATACTTTAATTACTTTATAATAACTTCTTTAAATCCTTTTAATTAAGTTATAAAGGTTAATGTTATATTATTATAATAATAAGTAAAATTAATTAAATAAATAAAAAATTTAAAAAGATAGTTTATTAAACTATAAAAAGATAAAATATTTATAAAATAATAATAAAAATAATTTAATTTAAATTTAAATTATAATATTAATTTAAAATGTTTAATTAAATTCTTTAATTTTTAATATATATTTTATTAATAAAATAAATAATTATTAAACTTTTAAAGGGCTTTTAAAAGTACCCTTAAAAATATTATAAAGGTTATTATTAAATTAATTTTATAATTTTAAAGATAAATAATTAATATAAACCTTTTTAAAACTATTAAATTTAATAACTTATAAATAAAAACCTTATAAATATTATATAAAAATAAAGCAATTAAGCTTTATTTATTTAATAAACCTTAATTATTATTAAAGATATTAATTATTATAATATATATATTATAAAATAGTTAAAGTTTATAAAGTAAAATAATTAATAATACTTTAAAGATTTTAATAATTATTTATAATTATTAAAAGATTAAAATAAATAAAAAACGCTTATAATAAATATATAATTTTATTATATAAAACTAATAAACCCTCTTTATATTAAGCTTAAAAATTAAATAACCTTACTTTTAATTATATATAAAAGTATGATTTAATTAATTATATATTATTATAAGCTTATAAACCTTAATTAATTAAGTTTAATAATTAATTTATTAATAAATTAACTATGGAATATTATTAAATTAAAAGTAATTCAACTTATATTTATAATACTTTTAATATTTATATTAATTAAAGACCTTAACCTTTTAGCCCTATTAATAAATAAAATTTATTAAAATTATTAAAAAGTTATTATACCTTATAAATATTATAGTTTTAAAATTTATTAAAATATAAAATGTTTTATAAAGGACTTAAAGGTAAGCCCTTTATAATTATAAGTTTCTTTATTAATATTTTATTAATGCTTTAATTTTATATAAAAGGTATTTTAAAGGTTTTTTATTTTATTAATAAATTAAAAAAAAAGCTTTAAAAAGGTTTTTTCCCTTTAAATAAAGTAATGCTTTAATAAATATATACTATCCACTTTATATATATATTTATTTATTTATTTAATTTTTATAGGATTATTATTTTAATTTATTTTTAATAAGAAATTATATTTATTTTAAAGGATAATTAATAATAATTAATCTTTTATATTATTTAAGCTTTATATATTAAGTAATAATATTATTATTTATATTAATTATATTAAATATTAAGCTTATAATTATTTAATATTTTTTATAAAGGTTAAATATTATTATTTTAAAGTTTAATTTAATATTTTATACTTTAATTATATAAAGTTTTATTAATTTAATTAATTATTTATAAATTAATAAGAAAGCTAATTTAAAATAACTAATGCATCTCCCACTTAACCTGGCCACCTAATTGAGCTGGCCACCCTAATAATTTATATAAAATCCCATTATTTCAATCTTTAATAACATTTCAAATACTAATTGTATAATTTAATAATTAGTACCTTTAGATCTATTAATTAAAGAGAAATCCAGAGGTATTTTTTACTATTTTTTATAAAATTTATTAAGCGAGATATTAAACAATACGTTAAAGTGGCGTTAAATAAGGGTTATTTTAGCGCTTACTTTAATGTATTGCTTAATAACTCCGCGAATATAAATCGTAGAATTTAGTGGAGGGTACCGTTAAATAGTTTATTTTATTACAAATCTAATGGTGTATTTTACTCTTTTATACGGCTAATATTTGTAAAGTTATTAAATTATTACGTGATTAGCGCACCGATGTTTCTTATATGGGCTGGGGGGGTGGCCAGGTTAATTAGGTGGCCAGGTTAAGTGGAAGATGCGTTATAAAGTTAATTTAAACTTTTAAAAGCTATTTTATAATATTTAAATCTTTAATTATTATTTATAAAAAGCTATTTATAAAACTTTAAAAAGCCTTTAATTATTTATACTTATAAATTAAGGTTAATTTATTTAAAAAGGTAAGGATAATTATTATAAATTTTAAATCTTTACCTTAAATTAAATAATAAAAACATTAGTTAATTATATTATACCTATTTTTATATATAAATATAATAGTTCTATTAGTTATACGTTATTTAGGATTATCTTTTCTCCCTTAAGTTATTAATTTACTCCTTTTTACGCCCGTTTTAAGCCCTTTTTACTAATGTACCTAGCTAGCCTTAGTCCCAATTATAACATTAAGTTTAAGGCGTTTAGGTTTATAGGAGTAATACCTTTAATTATATTAAAATTTATATAAGCAGCTTTATAATTATTCCCTTAACCTTAACCTAATTAAAGTAATAATTTAATAAATTTATTATATAAAATAGGAATAGCTTTATATTTATTTAACTTACCCTATAGGTAAGATGATAACGTTAAATAAAGATTTTAAATATAAAAGGAGTTTAATTATTTTTAAATACTTATATCCTATAAATTTTTCTTTTAAATAATAAAAAAGTAATATATAAAGTTTATATTTTTAAACTATAAGGCCTTTAACCTTTTTAATATTTATATAATTTTATTTAAATTATAATAAATTTATTATAAAGCTTTTATTATTTTAAAAAAGTTTTATATATTAAGTTTAATAATAAATAATTATAATTATATAATTTATTATACTTTTTAATTTAATCTTTTATAAATATAAATAAATTTAACTTTTAAATTATTAATTATTTTATTATTAATATATAATTTACTTTTTAAAAGGGATAATTAAACTTTAAACTTTTAAGGACCTATAAGAAAAGGGGGATTTAATAGGATTAAATAAAAGCATTAATATAAAAGAGCTAAAATAGCTATATTTTAAATAGTTTAAAGTTTTATTAATTCTATTATATAAATAACCTTTAACTATTTAAATTAAATATTAAAGTCTTATATTAATTTAATTATAATATAAAAAACCGTTATTTAAATTAAGCTTTAAACTTAAGTTATATTAAAAAATTAGTTTACTATTTATATAAATATTATAACGCATCTCCCACTTGACCTGGCCACCCAATTGACCTGGCCACCCCCCTAGCCCATACAAAAAACATCGGTGCGTTAATCACGTGATAATTTAATAACTCTACGAATTTTAATCGTATAAAATAATAAAATATACCATTAAATTAGTAATAAAGAGAGCTATTTAACGGTACCCTCCACTAAATTCTACGATTTATATTCGCGGAGTTATTAAGCAATACGCTAAAGTAAGCGCTAAAATAATCCTTACTTAGCGCCACTTTAGCGTATTGCTTAATATCTCGCTTAATAAATTTTGTAAAAAATAGTAAAAAATACTTCTGGATTGCCCTTCAACTAACGGATTTAACGGTACTAACTATTAAATCGTACGATTTATATTCGTAAAGTTATTGGAGATTGAAATAATGGGGTTTTATATAGATTATTGGGGTGGCCAGGTCAAGTGGAAGATGCGTTATAGTTAACTTAATATAAAAAAACCAGCTTAATTATATAAAAGGGTATAATTAAAATAAGTAAATAAAGGGGGGGCATTTTTATTTAAAGTAAGGTTAATTATAAAGGGGGTTAAATAATAAAGGAAATTATAAAGTAATAATAAAAGTAAAAATTTAAATAAGCTATATTAAAGCTTAATTAAATTAAAATTATATATAATATATAGCTTAATATAATAAATGTTTATTATAAAATAGCTTTCTTTAATTTAAAATATTTCTTATAATTATATTTATAATTAAATTATAAAGGGATTAAAAACTATAAAGGGATTAAGGACTATAAAGGGATTAAAAATAAAGGAACTTTAAATTATATATAAAAATGCTATATATAAAGGTATCTTTATCATATAAGGCTTAATTATTAAAGGACTATTTAAATTAAGAACTTTACAATTATTATAATGGGTGTAATATATAATATCGTTAATAAATACTAGAAATATACTATTAATTATAAGGTGACGAAGTAAAGGATGACTTGCTAGGTTATAACCTTCGTCAATTAGGCTAAATAGGCTTCCGGAAGTCCAGCAGGGCTATTGACTAGGCTACAGAATAGAACTATCACCCGTACGTCATCCGTACGGCTAGCCCAAGGGCTAGGAGCCGTGACTCTAGGTTAAAGATAACTATATGTAAATTATTTAACCGCTTTTAAACTACATTTTAACTACATCCTAACAGTTCTTTTACATTTAGAATGTACTTTTCTAGCGGCAGTACTTGCCAAGATTTCCGCACTGACCATAGGGGTAAGCCGCCCTGTGTGGGGAGGGGTGAGCCGCCCTGTATGCTCGATTCCACCTACCTACCGTTATCGTTATCAGACAGGTGCCCCAGCTGCAGAGCCGCAGTCGTAACAGTGAGGCATAGAGTAGGTACCTAGGTACCTAAAGAGCATCATCGTAGCCCTATCAGGAAACAGTCCAGCGTCGTCATCAATCAACGACAACACGGCTGCATATCGCATCACACGCCGCTAGCTAGCAACAACGACTTGCCTTTCTACCGTACCGACACAGAGAATAGCAAGCTGTAGATACCGGAAAGAAAATGGCCGCCCCATCAGACAAACCCGCCGACAACTCCGCCGCCACGAGCGACGCGAAGCTCGAGCAAGCGACAACACAGAAGTCGACAGCTGCTCTCGAAGAGGACGACGAGTTTGAGGACTTCCCCGTCGAAGGTATGTCAGTCCGTCGCTATAACACCTATCAAGCTCTGAAGTCCCGATGTCCGACCGTGGCGTGGACATACTATTCCTCTTTATCACCGAGTTCCCGCGGATATTCTCCCCATCCCTTCAACTCTCTATCTAACCAACCTCCGAAGCTGACAACGTTTCTTAATCATGATAGACTGGCCAGCCGAAGAGACCGAATCAGCCGCACAGACGACCAGCGGCAACGGCACGACGCAGCACCTATGGGAAGAGAGCTGGGACGACGACGACACGAGCGATGACTTCTCAGCACAGCTTCGGTACATCACACCCTGCCCTCCCTTTCCATCCCGCTCCCCACCCCATTGAATTTCCCTCTCCCTACTCCTACACGGCATCAAAAGGCCCATGCTAACACCACCCGATCCAACAGCGAAGAACTAAAGAAAGTCGAGGCATCAAAAAGGAGATGAACAAATCGCCCACGCCTACCCACATACCTACCCACACAATAAACCAACCCACGAAAACACGGTTTCTTTCTCACGCGGCAAGACCATGATAGATACGGGAGGACGAAGAAGAAGAAGAGGGCAAAACTGCACCCTATCCTGGAGAAAGCAGCATTTGCGCTCTTCCTTCCATGACGGACGAGCCGGGCCAAGCTGTAAACAAGGAAAGAAGACATCGTACCTAGTTAGAACACCATCCGCAATGAGAAAGGCTCGGGAAGTCCAGAATGCGGCGCTCGAGATTTGGCCCTCCCCAACCCCCCCAAAAATGAAATAGTAAACACCAGACAGTTGTTCCGCGGGGTATAGACTGTAGAGACTCTGAGTTATTCTATTCCGTTCTTTGCTCTTTTCTGATGATGATGTTCGACATTCAAGTAGTTTGATGCAGAAATGATCTCCTCCATACATAAAGCTACGAGGACCAGGGACGGGGAATGGTCTTGTGGTAGAGTAAGGTGGGTAGATAAATGTAAGAGGCCAACATGCAATGTATGTAGGTAGGTATACACAACTCCAACTTCCCAATATCGTAGATACACCTTCAAACGCCCACGCCTAATGAGGACAGATCATTCGACACAGATCCCACACTTCAAAATATCCTCGATCACTAAATTTTAATCTCATAACTATAAGCTACTAATAATTTATTTTGACTTTTTTTTCATTCAATGCTCACATAAGTATGTGTAGGCACATGTATATCTATCGAGGTATTCCGAATGGTAAGTCCCTAGGTTTCTCTCCTAATTGCCTGATTAACTTAACTGATCCTGACCTCAAGCCGTTTATTTACTTTGCTCAACCAGCCCAAAATTGCAATAACAGCAGAGAATATCTATTCATCGGCTCGTCTCTGGCGCAAACACATTTTAAAGACGCACCGTTCCTAACCCTCATTTCGTGCTCAATGCGACAACGCCGGGTAGATCCTTGCCCTCGAGGAGCTCGAGGGAAGCACCGCCACCGGTGGAGACGTGCGAGCACTTGTCCTCGGCGCCGTACTTGGCAGCCACGGTGGCAGTGTCACCACCGCCGATGATACCAATGGCGCCCTTGGCGACAGCCCCGGTGAAGGCGTCAAGAGTTTTCTTTGTGCCGTTAGCAAATTTCTCAATCTCGAAGACACCAGCCGGGCCGTTCCATAGAATGGTCTTGGCATCGTTGATGGCAGCCTCGTAGAGCTTGATGGACTCGGGGCCGATGTCAAGACCTAGCCACTCATCAGGGATGCCATCCTTATCGTTGGCCGTCTTGGAGTTGGCGTCTGCTCCGAACTTGTCGGCGATGATGTAGTCGACGGGTAGGGTAACCTTGACGTTGTTCTTCTTGGCCTTCTCCATGAGTTGGCCCACGACCTTGGAACCCTCCTCGTCAAAGAGCGACTTGCCGATCTTGACACCCTCAAGCGTCTTCTTGAAAGTGAAGGCCATGCCGCCAGTAATGACGAGGCTGTTGACCTTGTCGAGTAAGTTATCGATCAGTTGGATCTTGTCAGAGACCTTGGAGCCACCGAGAATAGCCAGGAAGGGGCGCTGAGGGGACTCCAGGGCCTTGGCAAAGTAATCCAGCTCCTTCTTCATGAGGAAACCGGCGGCCTTTTGGGGTAGGGCAACGCCAACCATGGAAGAGTGAGCACGGTGAGCTGTGCCGAATGCATCGTCTGTATGGCAGTTCGTTAGTCTGGAATTATCCCGTAGCTATGTAGCACGCAAGCAGGTGAGGTGGTGTGTACTAACTGATATAGACGTCACCAAGTGCGGTCAAGCCCTTGCGGAACTCGTCAACCTTGGCCTTGTCAGCCTTGACCTTCTTGCCCTCGCTGTCCTTGAAAGAGCCTTCTTCTTCGGCGTGGAATCGCAAGTTCTCAAGGAGAACAACTTGTCCGTTGTCGGCCTTGTTTACGATAGCCTCGACCTCAGGGCCAACGCAGTCAGGGGCGAACTCGACACTCTTGCCTAGGAGCTTCTCCAGTTCTGGTAGGACGGGCTTGAGGCTGTACTTAGGATTGGCCTTGCCATCAGGTCGGCCGAGATGTGACATCAAGACGACGGCCTTTGCGCCATTGTCAATAGCATACTTGATGGTGGGGATGGCACCGGCGATGCGCTGGTTGTTGGTGACGTTCTTCTTGTCGTCAAGGGGAACGTTGAAGTCGACCTGAGTCCCAAAGACAAGTTAGATTCAGACAATCTCCCACGAGTTATAATGTCTCGCAATTGGGCAAGAAAGGCGACGATTGTAAAAGTCTGACATACCCGAATGAGAACCCGTTTGCCCTTCAGATCGCAATCTGTGATAGACAGCTTGCTTGAGAGAGACATGATGGGTTTCTGAAACAAGCTAGGATAATTTACGATGGATAATTGGCTTGAGGGGAATGCGCAAAGGTATCTAGGAGAGTATATGAGGTTTTTATACGAGAATAAGAGGCGCGTTGGTGCGACGAGGAGTGGGAGGTATAGAAAAGCACGCATCCAGCGAGGTGCTCTGATGGAGGGGCAGTGAAGTGCGCGAGCAGGATTTGGTGGGGTAAAGCCGTGCAAACCTCAACTACCCTGTAGCCTGTATAGGCACCTAGAGCTTCCCCTAGCACGACCCCCAGCAGCGACCCCTCAGCACCCGCCCAGGGCCGTGAGTGAGGAGTGGTGTGACGTCTATAATGCTTGGGGTGGTGCTGGATAGCTCCCCGGCCGGCCTGTACCGACCGCCGTGCGGATGCCCGCGCAACATTTCAGATTCTTGGCGCTCTCCATCCCCTCTCGAGGTACGAGAGCCATCGAAGCGCTCCGAATACATTTCGTCACAGCCGCGGATAGAATATGCGTCGTCCATTTCCGTAATATTTTCTTCCGCAATATGAAAAACCTCGGTAGCAGTTAGGTAACGTATTATTCAGGGTCGTCGTTATGACAAGCAGATATTTGCCGAGGTAAGGCCTGGTCGACAGGCCTTCAACCTCCATTCTATGTGCGCAACGTCATTTCGAGCTTCCATAGCACTCCAACCACACAAGCACACAAGCGTTTTCAACATAGGCCAAATCTCTATCGAACTATAAGTCCACCGCCCAAAATCCCAATCAATCAATAACACCTCCGACGCCTAGATGCAGAATGAATAGACCATCTGACCATTTGTCTTGCGACTGATCAGCCTACTACGGCAACTAAGTGCCTAAGTCAACATACATCACCCTTACTCGAGGCGTATGTTAGGAGAGTAAGGGGCGACATTCTCGTGTGACAAAGCCTCGTCTTCGGATGCATTAGAAAGGGAAAGGTATGCCGTCCAGGCGATACCAATGGTGGAAACAAAAGGCTATCCAGAACGATTAGCGCTAGAATGAGTGTTTTTGTTATGTATAGGAGAACCACTCACAAGTTGGAATTGGACAGGCATCAAGCGAAAGTTGATGATCTGAACAGCAGGCCACACGATGTAGTTTGCCTTCAAGGTTGGCAAATACATGTCCTTCAGCTTCAGAGCCACCGCTCGACGACCGCCGCCTTCTGCGACTGTCATAACTGAGAAAAACAATCCCACGCTGATCGGTGCAAACACGAGTTGATCTACCACCACTCGCTTCAAAGCCGGGACAAAGGCGCTAGTTTTGGTGATCGGGAAGGCTCGCGACAAAAAGGCGAACCACTTGAATGTTATAGGGGCCATGGCGAAACCGTAGGCCATGAATCTCGTCAAGCGCTCGAAATCAAACGGTGTTGCAAGTGTCCTAGGATCGGGATAGGAATCGCCCCGCGAATCCTTCTTCCCAAAATCTTGGATTTCAATAGAAATGGAATCGCCTCTCACGAGTTTGCGATTGTTGGATCGCTGTTTAACCGATGTTATAGTCTGGGCGACGGTATCGGCAATGCCACCAAGGACAGCGTTCGTCACCATCGTGGTGAGCACTATATCAAGCAGCGAGGTCAGTATCTTCCATACCTCATACATGTCTGTGTACATATTATAAGCAGAACATGGTTTGATACATACATGGACGTCTATCGAAGTAGGCATTGTAGCGCGATGCGAGTCGTGCAATGATTCCCATCTCTATTATGAAGATAACAGCATGGAGAAGCGGCTACAATGAGAGGCACGGTTATTAGCGTAGTGATCTACTTGGTATATGTAGACAGCTAGTGGAAGCAAGCATGAATGAGAGCTGATGGCAAGCCGCGATGGTAAGGGGAGGAGGAATTGCGATCGCAATGCGTGGCCGCCCTGTTGTAACAACTGGATGAAGAGATGAGGGTAGTGACGAGAGAGGAAAAGCCACGTACAATTCTATCAAATATGAACTTGCTGTTGATGGACCGAACAACTCGGCGGCGGGTGAGTTCCCAAGACATGGTAGCGGTAATGGAAAGCAGCAGCTATGGAACTTTTTTTTTACTTGTGGTTGAGTGAGGCCCGGTGTTTAGTGGATCGAGATCGGTAGAGCAGGCTCGCAGCAGATTTCGTAGGGGTCTCGGGGCCAAGTCAATGACGACAGATGACACGGGTGATATACCACTAAAAGCGTAAGTGGTGGAGTTGGAGTTTGGGTCGGGTCTGGAAAGGGGAGCCGTCGCACAGGCGCACCGGGGGAATCAACCAGTCGTGGTCGTGATCGTGACCGTGCCGTGCCGTAGAAAGTCGTCGAAGGTGCGAGGAGAGGGCAGATGCAAGATGGCAGTCGATGTGCCTTTAGACGAGCAGAGACGAGTGGCCGGCCAAACGATGGAAATGAAATGAAGATGATCAAGCGCAAGTGCAGACACCTTACCTACTCTTGAATAAGTGGCAGCGACAGAAGTGGAGGCTCCGTTCTGCGTTTAGTAAGGGACTGTAGCACTGCCTCAGCTCCTCTTGGCCACTAATCACAGCACTCGATCCTCTAAAATGCCCTCTGTCAGACCTTGCGACACGCTAGGTACAAATACAGGACAAACCCCAATACTTCTGACAATGATCGACGTCCACATCTCAATCCCCGGTTCATCCGTCCATCATCACAAATCTCGCCTCTAAACCGTCCGATATATGTAACGTCAACTACCTACTAATTTCGCGATTATACAGCTTATCATGTATCAATGAGTGACCCTTTGGGCGCCACCTTCGAGTGATATGCGTTGACATAAATCTACAGTGATGAACATTTGCTTGAACCTCAATTGATGCCGTACCTACAGTGTTTCAACTTGGTACCGTCTGCCGCCGGGTTATTTATGGAAGCGCCAATTGCTGTCAAATACTACCGTAAGTAGGTATCATTTATCGAATACCCTTGGCGGACTAGCCTCTTTTGACCTAGTCCGAATTCTGACTGATGAACGTCAAAACCAAACGACTGAACGAATATTTGACTTTCTAGATAAGAACACTTAGATTGAGAAAGACGTGATTTGGAAATGCCCAAGTCCTACGAATATCACCTTTAGTAGTCTTCTTGAATTATATAATCACAAGACGACATGTGATGATCATAAACCTGATTGCATACGGTGGCTACTAAACCCTTACATGGTGTAGATGGCAGAAACCTACCAAGACATGATGACTTATTGAAGTAAGACAGAGCTAATGTGAGGCCATCATGAATTCCCGTCTGCAAATTCAATACAGCAACTAGGTAGAACTTAAATGTATGTTTCTGACATTGCAACTTCCGAGTTTGATACCACGCGTGTGAAAGCGGGTGACAGCGCGTGAAACCTCATACCCGTGTTCCGCCCGTCTAGAACCTGCCCGGCCAAAGACAATGTGTGCATTCCACGACTATCGCTTGCTGCACCGGCAGACTTGACTCAATTCCACCGAGATCTAAGACACAGGAAATGGCAAGAGCGTATTCGGCACGAAAGAGAGGATTCCCTCTACTACTGGACAGCAGCCGCTTCTCTCCAGACACCACACCAATGGGGCCATAACATCCTGCTCAAAATACATCGATTCATTCCTATTCTTTATATAAATCCGATGAGTATCTTGAGATCCTTGTTTCGAAACACTGTCCCTGAAAAGTGAAGATGAAGACCCAAACCTTCGTACTGCCATGTCTCGCGATACTAGGTCTCTCGACCGCCTTCCCCGACAGCAACATCCTTAACCCCAGAATCTGCACCAGGCCAACAGGAGTCTACGACGTCTGCGACACGTATCATTCGTTTATACGCTGCAATGGCCACGACGCCTTGCTCATCACAGACTGCATAGCAAGCGCCTCTACATATTGCCGGATCGTCAACGGCCGAGGCAGCTGCGATGGTTCACGTCCTCCTGATCTCGGCGGCGAGACACCTCCCTGCGAGACAGATTCCTCGGCAATACCTGCACCTACACCACGGACAATTTGATGTGAGTGGATAGTAATTGAGCGTCTTAGATGTACAATAGTATCTGACTAACATCCCGCGATTAGGCTGGTTTGGCATAGCATGACCCCCTTCAATAAAAAGGGCTGGTTGCAATTAGGAAGGCTACTATGCTATTGTGTCAGAAGCAGGCTGGTATTGAAAGAGGTTGGGTCGGAAGATACGTCGTTGAGTTGTCATTCGATAGGAAAGCATGGGAAACAATGAATACACAAGACAGCATAGAAGCAACATGGATGAATTAGTGATGTCTGGTAATTACCAGCTTAACTACTACGTTTGGTTCTACATGCTACGTCGCGAAATGTGATACTAGAAGCATTATCCGGGATTTAAAAGTCCATTTCGTCAGGGTCTGTTTTTAATGACCTTTTAGGCACAACTTCTAGTACCAACTGCTGTCCCTGAAATTACTGGAGCAGGATATCTTGCAAATGAGTTCATATTACCGTGAAAATTCTCCGAGAAGTCGCTGTCTTTCTGGGTCATTTAGGTTCGCCGCACCGAAACGAGGGCTTATTGAGTGGCCAATGTATGTCAGACATTAATTATTAAGCGGTAAGGGCGAGAGACAGAAGTAGTCACGAGAAGGGCCTGTGGCAGTCGCTTTGGTAAGTTAGACCTCGATAAATAGTAATAATCGGCTGTGCTATCTATGAAGCCAGACAAGATCATCACAAGGCGTGTAGTCGCATTCATCATCGGGTTTTCTGAGAGGATTGGGGAGCGTTTAGGCTTCCCACGACATGTAGAAGCCACAGAGAAGGTCCAAGACTACAGCAATATATCCAGTTGGAAACGAGATGATCACCATGGCATCTTGGATCATGGCATGGCTAAAATTAGGAGCGAGTACGTGCCGATAGAACCTGTGTTGTGAGCTTATAGGAGGGGTCCATGATCTATAAGATGACCTATAGGATGACTTGTTCTAGAAGTGAAATATAGTTCATGAAGTCTATTCTATCTATTTGAGGCGAAGACCTATTAATTATGCGTATGTTAAGATCAATGCCTAAAAACAAAGTAAAGTGTAATTTAAGGTACCATGAGCATATTATAATAAGGGCGTCAACCGCGATTACCTACCTAGTTATCAACTTTTTGTTTATAAACTGTGATCACAAGTCCTACCATCAGCGAAGTAGCAAGATCATGGTTCATCATACTCTTCGTAGTGCAATGGTAAAGCCTACCTCCGCTTAGAATACATTTTTTTTTCCCTCCCTCTTTCTATATCTTCTGTGTGTTATCTACGTCTTCTCGGTTCTAGCCTTTCATCCGCATTTTTATCTTTTAGAATTTATTTTCTCCTCAAAAGAATACATCTCATGCGTGATGCTGCTGTATCTGCCACCCCAGCACCTTGCAGCCGATGGGCTGTGCACCATTGGGGAAATCCGCATTGGTAGGCGAACATCCTCTCACAAGCGCCGAGTATTCCGATGAAAGGATGTTCCGGCTGCCTCACTGACAACACATCAACCGACACTACCTCCCACAACGCGGTGGATAGATTCTCTGCTAGGTCTTCTGGGCGAGGGAGTACGGTATCCCCAGAAGCGCGCGGTATACCTAAGATAGTGCTCCGTAGGAATGGGAGGGTTGCACCAGGCTTCCATTTTAAGAACAAAGGATCGCTGCGGTGAACAGCTTGAATGTTCAGCTGAACTTACTTCTAGCAAACACGGTAGTTTGGTGGCTTGCATCTGTTTGTTTCTGTGGCTATGCAATCCGCACCGTTCTAACCCGCCTTTTCCACATCCGTACCTCCGCATAAACACATTTATGGACAGCTTCGTTCTACGTCCTGCTGGTAATGTAACATCGAGGCGTAGTAGAGATGCATCTGCTAAATTCGCTTGCCAATGGGGTCCATTCGTGGTCTGATAGAGACTAGTACGAGTGGCATTGGGCCGTCGGATATTGATATTTCCAGTCTAATTTGGTCCTCATTAATATCTCCCCCCGCACAACGATTGTCAGCACCAACCCACACTACTACCGCAAGGCTGCCGCATGACATTGTTTTTACTTTCTTGATAGCTTCTACGGGCGAGGCAATGACTGTCTATATCCTATTTCCAAACCGGCTTCGACGTGAGCCGGTGGCACGCTCATGTTTGCTCCCTTGCTACGGCGTGGTTACCACACCACCCTCGTGGTATACTCGTGAGTTAGTGAACTCGGTAGATTTTCATTCAAGATAGGGCCAACGCACGTAGACATTCGTGTTCTCTCGTCACTGAAAACTATATATAAGGGGCACTTGGTATGGTTCATGAGGCATCAGATCATCACCACAGCTTCGCCAACGTTCAGCACCATCATATCCGACTGATAATCACTCAGAGACTCATTATCTACCATACATTCACCACCTATACTTCACTAAATCAACAAAATTACGACAATGCAGTTCTCTCTAACTCTCATTCTCACTTCCATCTTGTCCCTCACCCAGGCTCTGCCATCAGGCATCGCAGTAAGGGGTAACCAACAAATCGCTGATGCCCAAAACAGCTGGCGTGCGGACACCAGCATGGTATCGCAATTCCTCTCATCCGTGCCTACGCTCCGGGGTGCCGAGCTGCAATCCGCAGCCCAGGTTGCCCTCAATGCAGAGATCGACGAGCTGACGCACAAAAAGGTGCTCGACGGGGTGTTTTCCTCGGACCCGCGCATCGTCCAGGCGAACAACATCCTCGTCAACCAGGGCACCTTCCAATCTGTGGTGGATGCGCTGCAATCCTTCACCGACGACGGCGCCAGCATGTCTGAGGCGGAAATCACTACGCTGCTGCGAAACACCAATACTGTCCGTTGCGGCCAGGTTCTGCCTGCTATCGATACCTACTTCCGCGTCGCGGGCGAGAGGCTGAATAACGGTGTCCTATTGCTCGCCACGCGACCTAATAACTGCTAATATGGGTTACGAGAGCATTATGATGGCGTATGTGATGAATCAATGCGCTCCATGATGAGGGTGACTGGGCATTGGATGAAGTTGATCTGAAAGTTTTAATGGGGATTTGGTTGGGCGTTATTTCTTTTACGGCACTTTTTACAATAATGTCTCTCCTTCCTTCATGTTCATCTTCACCGCCTCACCGCGAATATAGATTGTCTTATAATAGGCCTCGGGGCCTGCTAGGCTAGTTTCGAGGGGGTTGGTAGATGCTTCGATCACTCTGAAGCTACAATCTGGGGCCTATCTGCATAATACAAGAAACTTACTAAAGAGTCATTCCTTTTCCTATCAACTAATGGTATTTCGAACAGCCTTAAAACTTGATCTTAGTTGCTTCTCAAGTGCATGGGAGGAGGAGGTAGGCTTTTGATATTAAGTGCCTGATATGATGACGTAAGATCAATAAACGACGCTCTCAAGGAGGAATATCAAATACGGATGCTACGATGTACCTATCATGATTTTGTCGAAACCACGTAGAAGCTGCGAAGCATACAATCAGGGCGATCACGTCCCTTCTACGACAAGTGGGCTTCTCATGCTCAGGTTCAGGATGCTGCTGGATATTCAGAGCTCGGAAGATACGGTCCATTATATTTCATCCATAGGTACCAGTCATTTGAGGTAGCCAAATACCTTACCTTGGCTTCTGAATGCTTTGCCCTCTATAACTAACTAATCGACATCATTAGTCGTGATTGCTCCCCTTTGGTGACAAGGGAAGCTGTTCCGCTTGGTCTTACCACGTCCAACTTGGAGCGTCGATTTGAATTATCCTGCATCCAGTTCTTCACGCCCCAAGATCGTACTTCGCCGCTTTCCATCTGGTAACTACATCGCCATTGCAAATTAGTCATCATGCCACACGATTGTGGCGATTTTATTCCTGGCTTTGAAGCCAGTGACATTGACCGGTGGATCGGTACATTCCACATTTCCCCAGTGAAGCCGTGGCCGAACGAAGGCGAGAAATTGGACGAAACGCCCGAGCAAAGGAGCATACGACTCTGGTATTTTCCTGACGACGAAGACAATGAACATCATAATGGCACTTCTAGCTCAGAACATCCTGATCACCAGACGGAAAATGAACAGAGTCCAAAAGTGCAGTATCCAAGTCTTTCTATGCCTCATCCATATGTCATAATCCCCGGAGGATCAGATTCAGGCCTCAGCTCCGACAGCATTCCATCCGCCGATGGCAAACTTTCGAAATTGGAAGAAGAGAAACTGATAGCGGAGACATTGGAAGTTTGGCCTGATTTCCACGTCGTATGGCCCTCAGACGAAGAAATAGCGTTCTCAAATCTGTGTGCTGAGGTGGAAGAGCTCGTGAAGAAGGACCTGCATCTAGCTGCTCTCACGCGCGCCCTCCAGGACGCCTACGACCATACCTTCGCCACGCACCCTAGCCATGCATTCTCCGTAAGCATCGAGGTCTACAAGCTAGGCCGGAACAAAGCTGAGATCCCGGTAATAAAGATGGACTTCCACAAGAAACTGCATTTCCTTTTCAGAAAACAACTCGCGCGTCGCTTGCTCGCCGGCCTTCTAATTCGCTACCCGAAGGGCTACTTTCCACGCATCTTCGGCGTTGTTGAGGGCGACGAGGAGAAGCAGGTCGTTCTGCATACCTATAAAATGCATGATGACAGGAGCCGGAAGTTTGAACGGTGCGGTGCTTGCCGTCATTCTATCATCAAACAATGGAAAGAGGAACGTAAGGGGAAGGAGGTTACGGAGTAGGACGTGGAGAAGATAAATAGATATTCTTAGCGTCTAATATTACTAGCTCAGGTTTCCCCAGATAGACTCAGTATTGATAATGCAAAAAAACAAGTGATGATGTGACAGCTATATAAGAGTAAACCCAAGATCGAAACATGCTAGATGAGTTACTATAATGATCTGCCTGATCCTTACCTGAATTATACCCCTACTCCTCCCTGTAACCGCAAAATTCCGTCTATGAAAAATAATCTTGACGTGTCAGGCGATGCATCCCTTTAGTCATGGTCTAAAGACGTGCAGGACAATCAACGAATGAATCAAGTACACCTAACCCAGAGGCACTTTGGCGCGGCACGGATCGCGATCAGACCCAGACTGAGCGCTATACTGGTAGTGCACTGCCGGGCTTAATGCCCTGATACTCAAGCCGCTTTGAAACGCCTCAAGAGGAAGTTTAAGCAACCCAAGACCGACACTTGCTAGATTCTGATCCGACAGGCCCTTCCTCGCTTTTCGAAGACCTAGCCGTCCTTTCCCTCACTGAAATGCTCAAATCACCAGTATAGCACCCGTCCACCCTAGTTGAGCTTATCATCATACCAATGTTGTTGAAACGTTGTGCCGAGTGAGAAGAGATGCCTTGGAGGCAAGATGTGATCTGCAGGCCCCGGAGGCTTTGGTCGGGTTTCTGCCCTCTGGTTTCCCAATTTACGTGCTGCCATCGCGGCTTATTACTCAAGGCGTGACTCTTACTGCTCCGTCGTGAATACTGGAGCAGCTTCACCGTTGATCTCGAGTAAGTCCCACATTCAATTCGATGTCGAGTTGTTACAGTCTCAATTGAATCGTCTCCAGCGCAGTCTATCCGATCTCTCATTACATTGAGGGGAGCCCGAGGGATGGTTGGTGACGGAAGTGGAGTCCCAACGAGTAGTTAATATACAAGGTCGATGTATTCCTTGCAGCGCGCCTAAGGTACTGTAAATAAGATCAAGCGTCGCAAGGTGCATGTATGGTTGTTTGAGGATGTCAGAATTGACGGACGTAATCAACAGGATAGGTATTTACAACCCGACGTACAACACCATCGCCTCGCTTCTAGTACGTGCTTTGGTGGATGAGGCATCGAAAAGATGTCCTATTGCAAAGATCAGACAGGTAATATCACTATGTACCTCTTGACTGAAGAGTACTTCGTTCTTGCAAAGCAGGACAACAGCTCTTTCACCAACATAGGTATTATTCCCTATATGACAATAATATAGTCATCTTTTTAGATTGCAAATGGATTTGGAGCTCAGACCGACAAATCATTAACATACCACATGTTTGTCAAGGTATCCAATCGGTAATGACATGTTTTCGTCGCGCTTCGGACGATAAAGTGCACGTATCCGTCACCAACGTTATCTTCACGATTACGATCGCCTCTTTTCCTTCGTGGTAATCACTAATTACTACCAGACTATCTCGACTGTAGTTCGTGGAATAAACAACTTAAAACCTCCGCGGGGTTGACGGTAGCCCGAGCCAAATCCATCAGTATTATGATCGTATGGGTGTCCTGACATAGGATTCCGTTAACTTTTATCGCCATCCACCCCGAACATAACCCCCGTAACCAGAGCTCGTGAACCGTTACCCATTGCCACCTAATCTCATAATATCATTAATAACAGCGATAACCGTTCGCCTAGGCCACTAGGAACGAAGTAAGCCTATAGTGCTATCAAGGATAATAAAAGTCCAAACTTAACGAGACGGCCTGGAGCGACTACTCCGGCCCCCCCTTCTGGTACAGGAGACGTTGTTTCTGAAGGCAAGTTAGAAGAGTTGGTGTTTCCGCTAGCTATAAACGTCGATGTAAGCGTTGAATTAACTGACGAAGTCGAGGGGGTCGAGTCTTCCCCGGTCACAGTGGGAGTACTTTTTTCATCCGCAGAGGATGTGGAGGGGTCGCCAGTCTCTTCAACAGAGGATGAAGGCTCTTCGATTGTAGACGTCTCTTCAGAAGTAGGGGTTTCGACCTCGTCTACGCTCGACGTAGGTGTTGATGTTGGCTCTTCAACGGAAGTCGTTATTGCGGGAACGTTATCCGGAACCGTAAAGGACGGCAATGGGCCGCCTGAAAAGTAGTAGTCGCGCCAGCTATAACAGTTTTCGATCTCGTAGCACGTGTGAGTGCTATGGAAGACGGTATAAGTCTGGCGCATCAACTCTGCGAACAGCGTGTCGTGTGCATAGTCCCATGGCACATTTTCCAACTGTCGCTTCTCCCAGGCGTATGTGTTATATGCTGTCTGCACGGCAAGTGCCTTGCCGGAGAGCTCTTCTACGTACGACGCCGCGCAGCCCGGCAGCGGGTATGCGACACTCCATGCCACACCATCGCGCTGGGTGGTAGTCTCTATGCCATCACCTTGGTAGACTTGGAAGTCATATTGACTGTAAAGGAAGTCAGTCGGAAGTTACACTCGACTTTAACAGACTTCGATTCAAACCTACGTTGGGCAGCAGTAAGCGACTTCTACCCTCTCGGCTCCCTCTTCACCCCCCTCTGAGTACGAGTACGCAAAAGTCGAGGCGGCGGTGTAAGCAGAGGGACAGCCGCTGTAGTAAGTGGTCACCTCATCTACCACCGTTGCAGCTTCATAGGGCACGAAGCACGATGTAGCGGTTGGCGGCGGTCCAAACTCCGTCACTTGGCATGTCAACCAGTCCGGAGAAGAGTAGGTTTCATAATCGTCTTCGAGCGCAATAGCAAAGCAGCTAGTTACCACCACCCAATGGTCTTCCGGGTCGACACATCCCGGGCCCGGTGTAAACTGCGCTGTTGGTGGCTCGGTTATAATCGCCGGCAGCGTAGGGGTTGGGTTGAAAAGGGTCACAGACGCCATTTTATCTTTTGTGGTTAGCAGCTGAGCTTGGCGATCGTATGGGACGCGTCGACGGGAGTGCCAGCTCGGCTTTCCAACGGGATCGACGCTTGAATTTATTGAATCAACCCCGTATTGTCCCGTATTGAAGTGGCCTGAGCACGGTAGGCAACAGTGCTCTTGACGGCCGAAATGTCTTGCTAGGACGAGAAGGCATGGATGGAAGTCCTGAAAATGCTACGCAAGCCCAGCTGCCAAGATGAACATTGCTGTAATAGGTAGGAAGCTCGGTAACATCGCCGATTCGCCAAAATACTTGGGGAAGGGGGGGGCTTAACAAGCAAGCCTTGAGACCAGGCCTCGGTTTGGCCTGTCAGCTAGGCAATAATTAGAACAAATTCGATAATAAAAAGAAGAGTCGAAGATAGTTCTACGCCAGTGCCTATAATTCATTGATAATCATTAGTTACGACAATGCAGTCTCTTGTTTAGACTTTGAGCAGACAGGTAAAGCTATCGACCGGGTCCAGGGAATCCAGATCCTACAATAAATTAGAAAGGCGATAAGATCACTATTTCTATTTCGGTCCTATTGATTCCTATAATCCTATGAGGATCAAGCATTAATACGGCAATATGGTAGGATGGCAAGCTGTAAACAAAATGAACGGGCAACTAGTGTCCATTGCATATAATGACTACATCCATTGGCAGTAGATTGCCGTTTGTGTAGCCAACGTATGCTTTAGAGGCAACTAAATTTCTTTGGAGATTAGAATGTCGTCAACCAGATTTTAGATCAGCCTTGTTACTTTCTTGAAGCACTTTTAACTAATAAATATAATTTCGCTAATGATATAATTGGCATATCCAGGCCTCAAGCTAATGCAAAGTGAATTTTCTATTTTGTTGGTGACGGTCTTACAGCAAGATGTGTCGAAGTGGGAAGACGCCATACTCAGAACTATCTTATTGCCTAGGGAATACCTCTACTTAGGCTTATGAGGACGTTCGCAAACGATTAGATTTGAAAAGTAAGTTTCCAAATTATGTATAGCTAACTTAGGCCTGGGTAATTTTCCTGTGCTTCGGTCTTCAAATCTTTCAGATTGATCCTGTCGGGACCAAGTAAGAATAGATGATGGAGAGAATTACCAAATTCGTTATTGACTAATATCTTCACCCAGCAAAAGCTCAAACGATTTCATGATCTCCTCTTGTTGGATCCTTAGGAGATGTAGCTTTTCCGAAATTAGAATAAATCGAGCTTTGGTAGCAAATGGAGAATTCAAATCGAGGCAGTGCGTTTCCATCCTAAGGTTTAAGTCTATAAGAATCATTCAATGTCTCCGCAAAAGGCCCATTTCACAGCCTGACGACAGCTCACTGGTTTAAAAAGAACTTAAATTCGTCGAGATCGTTTTGAGAGCTTCACGTTAGGCCTAGGATACCTGTGGTATCTAAATACAGTGAGATTCCAACAGTAAGAAGTCGATAACTGTTTTATTCGTTGTATAAAGTAGCTGCTAGAAGATAATAGAGTGCACTACTGCAACTTGTCTTCTTTTATACGATTATTGCACTTGACTCTCTAATTTTGTCAGTGTTACAATCGGCACTAGTGAAATTGGTATCGCCAATCTATAATATACCTATCAATGAGGTAATTGGAAGCGTCCATATCGTAGATGCATGAAAGATGATCGTAAGATGAAATGGGGTCTCAAATTTCCGGGTTATATTTCTAGAACCACATTTCGCGATATAGCATATTAAACCATGCGAAGTGGTTAGGAAACTCGCTCATACATCTTGGGACGTAGTTATGCCAGTCATCTTTCAAATTACTTGCATCCATTGTGGTGGCATATTCCCACCATATAGGATACCATCCTGATGCTTCCCAGTCAATGATCATAACCTTACCCCTAGTACCAATCATAATGTTTTTGGGCTGCAGATCACCATGTGTAAACACCGGCTTACCGCTCCCCTGTAAAACATGAGGTAGGACGCGCTGATAGTAGTCAGCTGCGTGGCGAAGCCTGTCTCCAGCCTTGGATCTATATCGTGAAACGAGTGCATTAATTAGCTCGCTTTCCGTCTTGAATGGTCCATATCCCGCTTCAGGAGGGTCGTCTTCATCAGAAAAAATATCATCGTTGAACTTGGCCATCCCGAGGCCGCCGAAGTAGTCAGGGGGTGGTATATTGCGTATAATCTGGAGAGTACCGTGTAAAGAGTCGACAACCCTGATTCTTTCGGGCTCTCCCATCGTGTCCCATACCTCTGAGAGAGGAGGGCCGTCGATGTATTCCATGATTAGGTATGTAATGGCCGGCTCCCGCTTCCTCCGCCGAGGTCTTTGGTAAATGGCAAAGAGCCGTGGCACGACACTTTTCAGATGCTCTCGAGCAAAGATCACTAGGATACAAAGGATCAATACTAATTGCTACTTGGACATGACATGTGAAGCTTTGAAAAGGATAAGTCTCAGTCAAATGAAGAAGTTCCACTGTGCCAGTATCTTGAGCAGAGAGGAAAGATACTTCGATGATTACTCACTGTTTTCGCCTTCTATTGGTCTCGTAATTTCTCCATACTTGGCAACGTAGTGTTGTCCCACACGCACAACACGTTCCGACCACAGCTTTTTGAGTACATGTGGAGAGTCCTCAATCTCCTGCACTGATGGTAGACGTTCGGGAAGCTCGCTTACCGGCTGGCTGAAGAGCACTGTAGCCGGAAGAGGGGGCGAATGCGGAGGAGGTGGTGGTGGTGGGGGTGAATGTGAAGATGGAAGAATGCTGCCCATACTGAAAGCCGATGCGATGTGAGCTCCGCGCAAACTAAAGATACTTTACCTGCCTTAGCGAACAGAAGGTGAGTGAAAGTGAAAGGGAAAAGGGGAAAGGGGGGAAATGATTCATTGAATGTTATGTTATGTTGGCTACTATGCATAGCGGGGTTAGAGTTGCCTTGTTGGTGCTAGATAGCAGCTAAGCCATGATACATTCACAACGCCAACGATATGGCAGGTAGGTAGTCCCGAGGTCCCAACAACCTATCCATCTAACGGCCTAAAATTCCCGTTGTATCATTGAGATCTTTTGTCTAACGGTACATTTTGAGCGAAGTCGGAGTTGTCGGTTGTCCTAACAGCAATAAAATCAGGTCAGGTACTTGGCACATACATTCATTTACGCACAATGGACTGGGATGAGCGCGGCATTCTGGACAACAATGTGTCGTTCCTCTTATGGATTAGGAAGTACGATAAAGCACGCGAGGAACAACTGACGGACTGGGTGTCGACTCTTCACAGGGATCACCTACCTTGCGAACTCGCTACTCATAAGCTTGATGATAGCCGTGGTGCCTACAACATCAATTGCAAGGTAGTGTTTAGCAATGGCGAGAAGTGGATGGTTCGCTTTCCCATGGTAGGAAAGGTCATGAACGCCGACGAGAAAGTCGAGATCGAAGTAGCTGCGATGAAACTCATCCGTCAGCAGACCAATGTCCCCATTCCTGATGTCAAAGCGTGGGGATTAGCTGCTGATAACCCTCTCGGAATTGGTCCATTTATCATCACGGAATTTATCGAAGGCGTTAGTGTCGATAACATTCTGCAGAATACTGATGCTAGGATGATGAAAGAAGATGTCAGTGAAGGTGTAGTTGAAACTATCTTTCGGCAAACGATCAGCTTTCAATTGCAGCTTCAACAGCTGAAGTTTCCACGCATCGGCAGCTTGACCTCGACATCCACATTTGGCGAACCTGGATTTTCTGCAACGATTCACTCGCGACCACTTACCCAGAAGGCTCATGATCTCATGAAGCTGGGCGGAGTTGATGTTCTAGGTTTGCGATTGCCATCCCGATTTCATTGAGCCGCCTATTAATGGCTTTTCTAGGTCCTCGCGACAAAACATACTCATCAACAACTGAGTATTTTCACCACATCGTCGACCAAGACTTACGACATCTTCATCGCCAACTGAATTCAGTTGACGATGCTGAAGACGCAAGGGATAAGTTTGTATACTGGAGCGTCATGAAAGCTTTGGTAGCACGTCACGTCTTGCCTAGCCAAGACAAGGGCCCTTTCAAGTTCATGTGCGACGATTTTCAGCCCGCAAATATGATAGTTAACAATGAGCAAGAGCTCAAAATCGTGGCAGTGATTGACTGGGAGTGGTCGTATGCGGCGCCAGCCCAGTTGGTGCATTCCACGCCATCGTGGCTGCTCATAGAGTCCCCGAATACTTGGCCCTCGGTCGATGAAAGGCTTGCCAGGTTCAATAGGTACTTGGAGCTATACACCCGAATCTTAGAGGAGGAAGAACAAAAAATTCCAGGTCATGATGTCCGCGAAGACGAGAAGCCTTCGTCGTTGCTGAGGGAATGCCAGAAGCAAGGACACCAGTGGTTCCACTTCATCTTGCTGCGCGGTTTTAATGGACCAACCTGTGTTCCTTTCGTCAAGCTCCGCGAAGAGACAGCGGATTGGGACGAGCTTGTTTCAGCTGTACCAGAGGAGAAAATCAAGGCTTTTGTCCAGAAAAAGGTGGCAGACCTGCAAACGTATGAGACGCACTTAGCGGAAATACAAGAGAGGTACGAAGCGGCCTTGGGGGCGGAATCGGAAGACAAGCTGGCCTTCCTTGAGGAGAATGTAAAGAGTATTGGCATTGATAGGGAGCGACATCATTGGCGATCATGGAAGTGCTTCGATCAGTAAAGCTGGAAGTAAGATCTAATATAATGCGAGGACCTCTTGTGGTCAGGAGACCATTCTGCACCTACACGCATTTTCCTTTTTTCATAAATCTTTGTATTGTATAGCGATATGAAGCTCAATTCATTCCCCACAACGGTTCACCTGCCTAGTTTACTTCATGATATTGCTGTGACTAATGAGAATTCCATTCTCAAGCTTCGGAACTGTAAATCATATACATCGCCGACCTACCTAATCCGGCGGTACGTGCAAATGAGACCCCCCGGTTTTCAGGTCGTCCGTGCGAAAGATAAAGAGGTATATATGTATGTATGTGTATGCGTATGTGTGGGTTGTGTCTAGAACCGGCTTCGTAGGAAGTTGTGATGAAATAAAAGCATGCTGTCAATACCTCATGAAGATAGACGGTATATATAATCACGACGCCGCCCCTAGACTGGCAGGTGTCGAAGGCTTGAAGCTGATCCGTCTAAATACGCAGACACGACTTCATATATGTGCCCGCTCCGATCGACCCCAGTCTCTCTTCCACCGTGTCAGTGCAGAGCATACAGCCCCTAACTACCTTCATTCGACTCACGGTCATCCAATCCCATAGTCTGGCCTCGAATAAAGTTGATTCAATGATGGCAGTTGTGTCGGCGCACAATACCCCTGACTACCTCGACACCGTCAGAGCCGAAGAAGAGGCGCTGTCGAAGATGTCCCAAAATGCTCACCAGCCGACTCCCCCATCGTTCCAAAATTTCATTAATCACGCAATCACGCCTTTTGGCTGCCTCATGATACTTGTCATCAGCAGCACCAAATGCCTTATAGTCACTCAGCCATAACTCGTTGTAATTGCCACATGAATTGTTCTACTTTGGTTGACAACGCATTACATCGTAACGTGAAACTCAGAATCTATGCAGCCCTCTTCAGATCAAAGCTAATCAGCTTAGATTTGATATATCGCTATTCGTAGAAAAAGGTTAACACGGGTTATACCCGCCAGTTGAAAAATAACATCGCCAAACAAAACTTCACACCAAGATATTAGTTAGAAATTAAACCCAATCCCAGCCCTGTCCTCCCAGAAACGCACCCACTACCATCCCCGCCTTCTCATCTGTCCCATCTCATCGCGCATCAAGCTCTTCAAGCCGAGCTCCCCACGAACTCAAACAAGGGTCTCAGAAACACCAACGCAGTAGTTATACCCGATCTCGAGGTTCGTGCACGAAGGGTTGAGATCGGGGTTCCACGCGTGCAGCTCCGCAAGCGAGATGGTGTTAGAATCTATGATGCCCGAGCACGAGTCGCCTTCGACGACCTTGTAGCACTTGTCGCAGTTCTTGATCAGGCCCGGCTTGACGGGGACGGGGCACGCGGCGGGCGTGCCGGGCGAGTTGTTGATGCCCACGCAGACGACTTGGCCGACGAACAGGTTGCTGCAGAAAGACTATATTTTTCATATCAAGATTAATTAGTGAACTGCAGTTTTTCTTTCCGCTGCGATATCGCGGGATTACTCTGTCAGGAGAAGGGATACGAACGTCGACCTCAGGATTCCAAGAATAACTGTGCTCATGGTTAGCTTCGTCCCCTTTTTCATTTCCTTGTGATAGGAGTAGGGTATGGGCGGACTCACAAGTCGGCCAGGCTAAATACATCGCCGAAGCGGTCCCGGATCACATTGCAGGTGTCCATCGAGTGGACGGTGTACGTAGCGGTGCCTATAGACATGAGAGTCAATAAGTGTCATCCTCGATATTCAGGGGGCTTTCATTAGACAGTCGCTTACAGTTTGACGTATAGCCCTGTCGAGCGACCAATTCGACGCCAGAAGTCGGGAGAGCGAAGCCCTGGGTGGCGAAAGCCATGATAGAGAAGAGAGCCTGAGCGAGCATCTTGATCTGAAGTGCAATGTTTATACTGTAAGGGTATAAGAGTGAAGTTGAATCAATTCGTTGCTGGCGACAGATTGAGCGATGAGAAGTGAGGTGGGCGAGTCGAAGCTGTTGAGCGTGATGATCCCTTCTTTTCATTTCAACAACGCGGGATGATGCAAAGACTTTATACTCAATCATCTCCTCGTAGCGACACTCGACTGCCTAAGATATCGCGAGTCAAATCGTTTTCATCGTTATTTGCGGCGTATCCCCATGATGCCCTTGCTCGGGCCTTTGGTTGCCTGCCCGTCTGCCTAGCTATGGGCTCATCATGCTTAAGAGCCAATGTAACAAGCCATGCGCCCTCGCAAGAAGCAAGAAAAGAGGAAATAGGCTATGGTGCACCATCGCGCTGAAAAGATCTCACTGATCTCACGATGTTAATCCAGTTCTTCTATCCTTCACTCTCGTATCCCCGCCCCCGGTCCTTCGGCATTTCGGTCAATTGTGGGCTATGATGCCTGACGGGACGGCAGTAATTATTGGGTGCAAACCAGCCCACCAACAAATTCCGATCACAAGTCTTGGCGCACGCTCAAAAATGGAATTATACTTGAGTCTGCGCATGGGATTTTCTGAGGATGAACCCGTATTTTCTTCATTCGATGCCGTCATCACGAGACGATGCCTCTCTTCCGCGCGTGCGGGGCAGGTTCCGCCGTCATCCTATAGCACGGGCGGATATTAACTGCACGCCATGCGCAGTTTAAATACGAGATTTAGATTGAGTCATCCTATACCACTGTAGCAACCTACTACGCTGCATTGCAATTATCGCATGATAACTTGATGCTCCTCTTCATGCTAACTCAACGCTACTCGCTTCCACACATGCATTGGCGATGTAGTGAATCTGACATGTTCGCCAAAAGTTCCCTAGCGACGACGCATATCTCGACATGGCTTTCGTTGATTCTGATCGTTTCGACAACCTAATCAATTGTTCCACGACACCTTGTGTTCCCTGCTAACCCCACCTACCTAGGGTGCCTAGGACTATTGAGATCTTTAGCAGCTCGACAGTGCATGCGAATTTCCGACCTCAACTCAAGTGTTATTTCAATTGGTACATGTTAATACGCAAAAACATTGTGATGCTACTTGATGCTACTCTACTTGCAAACTAATAATAACATACTCTACGAGGTAACGTTCACATCTGGGAGAACATAGAATGCATGCCATTGCTCCGTGATCAAACTTTATGCTTAATTAGTAGTCATATGGAAAGGCAGGGCTATCTTTGGCAGGGAACATTCTCACGTCACCGACAATAGGTGCAATGCAATGGTCTTATTGTAGGTAGAACAGTTATAGTATCGTTACATTCCCTTGGTGCTGTGTGTTGCAAGAGTAGGTTAATAGAGCTTGATGCATGTACAAAGCTATAGTAGAAGGAAGTTCCTGACATGGCCCCGAGTCTCATTTATTTGGGTATCACAACGTGAAAACAAAGTATCCTTGACATGCCTAGTCGATCTTTTCTCTTACAAATATTGTTGAATCGGAGACGCGAAGCCAGCTCAGCTGCCTAAGGAAGTTTATCCGTAAAGCAGATGTCGAATATCTGATACTGCACCTTCTTCTTTACGGATGTAATCTTCATCCTGGAATGCCAGCGCCACCAGTTTGCGTTTGTCGGACTGGATATCGAGAACCCTGTATTCGACAGAGCCTTCGACCAGAAGCTTGTAGACCGTGACAGGTCGCTTTTGGCCAATTCTATGGATTCTGTCAACAGCCTGGTCCTCAATAGCTGGTGCCCACCCTGAGATTATGTTAGTGTGTATCTGTCACTACCAACCAGTCATCAATAATCATAACTTACAGCAATCGGTGAGGATGACAGTATCTGCGGCGGTTAAATTGACACCAACTCCAGCCGCGTGTAGACTGGCAAGCATAACTCGTGTCTCGGGATCGTTATTCAATCTTGAGACAGCTTCGTCCCTTTGTTTTATATTCATTTTCCCTTCAAGCCGAGCGCATTCGACCTTCTTCTCAACAAGAAGAGTTTCGATAATGTCGAGAAATGACGTCCACTGAGAGAATATAACCACTTTAGATTCGGGATCTTGAAGATGCTTTTCTACGAGTGCCTCAAGTTGATCCGTTTTTGAACTTCGTCGATCAGAGTCCACGTCCGCGCCTGTAGGAATTTCCGCGTCAAGTGGCCGAGGACCAAGCAAACCGTCTCCTGTCAGTTCTTGACGGCACATTGGACACCGCTCTTGTCTCTTGAGTGCATCAAGAATACATGTCCTTCCAAAGCGATGTTTGCAAGCAGTGATGACTGGATCGTGGGTCTGAATCGGGTCGTAGCAGATTGGGCAATCCTCGCCGATGCGAATGGCTTCAGCCAGAGCATCAATTAAGATCTGTATGTTCTCGGGTGTCAATGCTACAAGGGAATCCTCGCCGAGTTTCGCCAGAATATCCTTGACTCGAGACCCAGTGAGAGACCAGTGATCGCACCTAGGAATAGTGTTAGCTGAGTAAAGACACGTGAGTTTCGTGGTAGATGTTACATCTGTCTCAGGCGTAGAAGTGTTTCCAGAACGTTCGCGAACTTGACTTCCTTTCCGCCGTCGGTGTCACGGTCACGTTTGCGCTTCTTTGCCTTTTTATCGTATGATCTAGCAACGAACTGCTGCAAAACCTCGCGAGCTTCCCCGCTAATCCATTATTAGGAAACAATTCATGACGTAAGGCTTCTAATTGGTACTCACAGAATTTCTTCATATCTGAGCTGCTCCAGCTTCGTGAACCGAACGCGATGCACATATTCGGATTTTTCCGGCATACGCAGGTTGATGAATGCCATGTCTTTCTTGCGACGAAGACACAAATCCTGGACTAAGGCTTGGAAGAGAGCTTGAGCCTCACCACGAATTTTGAGGCGAACCGTGTTGTTTTTGTCCTTCACAATACCTTCGAGTGGCCGGGCAATCCTACTATTGAAGATACTCTTTTCTTGGATTCCTCCACTTATCTTGAGGAAAAGAAGAGCAGACCAGAAGTCGGTTGTATTGTTGACACTACAGTTAGTCCAGAAGTCAGCCATATGATAAAAGCAAGTAGTGAGCTAGCTCTAACTTACAATGGGGTACCACTCAAGATCCATCGTGACTTGGCTTGAAGCTTGCACGCGGCTTGCGCACTCTTGGTGTTGGGATTTCTGATGACGTGACCTTCGTCAAGTACTACACGACGCCAGGTCAGCCCGAACAGGGCAGTCCAGTTTGCTGATTTAAATTGGCTTGCAAGCAACCCGTAGCTAGTGATGACAACGTCATATTGAAGCAGATCGGATTTATTCAGTTGGTGATACTTGGACGACCCGTGACATCTTAACACACGAGGTACTCGGTCTTCCTTCACATGTTCCTTAAACTGCTGTTCCCAGTTGCTAAGAACACCAGTTGGAGCAACGATCAAGGTGGGACCTTCTTCGAAACCTTCACTCATGACTAAGCTAATTGTTTGAAGAGTTTTACCGAGACCCATATCGTCAGTAAGAATACCACCAGACAGGAGGCGAGGACGCGCGTTTGTGACATGACCGGAGGCAAGGTTCTGAAAGTTGCCCCCATTCGTGCGCTTCCACAACTGAACGACATCAGTCGAATCGGGTGCCGGGAGTTGGGGGTTCTCTTTGGCTCTCATCCAAGCGAGCCCCTAGTATAGGTTAGAAGGATCTAAGACAAGACGGGATATGTCTTACCTGGAGTTGATGAAACAAAAGCGTTGACTTGATTGCATCGGGCTGTGGCGCTTGGGGCATGGCCGATAGCGCTGCTTCGTCCATATTGAGCACATCAAGTGCGCTTGGGTCCGCACGGAAATCCACGGCTTCACTTTCTTCCAAAAGCGCTGGCTGCGACTGGCTAAAGTCAGACGAGCCCAAGCCAAGGGCAGAGGCCGATTCATCCCCTTTGGATTCATTGGCGATGGCTCGTTGGGCTTCAGCTTCTTGCCTAGTGTTCTTGAGCTGTGTGGCTTTCAGCAGCTTATCGGCTTTCAACTTGGCCTCAAGTTCTAGACGGGCTGTTGTGTTGCTCGTTCCATAGAGGTAGAGACGAATGGGACAGTCAAACGGAGTTTTTTGGCCAGTGAGGATTCCTTCGAGCACAATGTCACCTCTATCTAGGTAAGGTGCCAATTTCTGGACAAGGTTGCGGGGCAGGTGTCCGATCTGGCCCCCCATGACGTCGTCAACCCGAACAGCGTTGCTATCATATTGGTTTTCGCGTTCACGGCGGCATAGGATCGATTCGCCTGGAGTCACAATACCATTGTAGTAGCGGACTCCGACGATCTTCTGCTCCATACTCCCATAGAACTCCAGGGGTGGAGGTTCGGTAGGAACACCGCTTTCGTCGTCATCATCAATGGTAATGGGTTCTTCAGACGTTGCGCCAAGATGCAGTTGGGTTGAAGAGCCCTGCGAAGATGGTGGATTGCGATGTGACGGAACTGACGACGATAGGGATCTGGGTGTGGCAGGGGGTTGACTCGAGTTGAACCCGGGGTCATTACCAGGTCGAGCTCTCTTGCTCACCCACTGCGTCCTTCCCCTCCCAGAGGATGCTGCTCGCTTCCGGTAACCTTGGAACATGGCGAAAGGATTGGGAGGTTAGTGGACTCCGCCTTGCTGGAGACTTGGCCGGGTTGATGAGGGCAGATAGATGTAATTTCTAACGATGTTTGGAACCAAACGAGACAAATACACACAGAAAGATGGGGAAACAAGACAGGAACAAGAGTGGGCGGGCAAAAGAAGGCAAATAATAGAAGGAATGAGTCCAAGTATGACACAATTAATGGTAGAGGTGTTGAAGGCCGAAGTCGTTTGCAGACCTGTGCGACGACTTTGAAGCTACAAACGTCCTGAAAGTGTCTTTGGGCAAGAACGTTTCAGTTTTAGGAGCGTGGCGCGCCGTGGCTGCTGAAGCCTAGCAATCTCTACAAACTCCCAGGTGTGACTTCCCTCAGCGGTCAGCATAACCACAGTGTTGGAAGGAAGGCGCAGCTGAACAAGGACTTGGTAACTACGGGTGGGTATCTAGGATAGGCCAATTTGAAGCCATCTCCGGCTCCGTCAAGACTGGGAATACCTACTTGTTGCAGGTGAGATGTTATGGTGCGCTTTCCAGACTTTACACACTAGCCAGGGGTGAAACGCGGTACCACGTGATATGTTGCTGACATGACGACGAATGAGCCAGGGTTTCTGCCAGGCAAAGCACTATTGGTATCAAATTCCACAATGCCTCATCATGTGTATCAACTCACTTACAGTAGCATCCCACTCACATGTTTTGATGCCTTACATTGCCTTACATTGCACGTGTTTAGACAGGTATGAGATATTTGCAGCCAATAGAGGACTCTAGAATGCGGGATGCTGTCTGATTTAGGTAGGCACTGCACCCGCCGCCTACCTAGGTCCCTATTTTGAGTGGAAATGTACCTGGGTATCTGCATCTACACAGTGCCCACAACACGCCTACATATGTATGTAGTTTCGAGAGGCACTTTGGCATTTACCTTACAACGAGGAAGTGGTGACTAAGGTAGTAGTAGTATTAACACATACCTACTCAAACTGTAGATTTAAGAAGAGCCTTGAGTAGGTAACAGCAGCTACATGTAAGGCGTGGATTGTACAGTGGTGTATGCAGTACGGTACCTAGGTACTTGTGCATACATACCTTCCTAAATGTTGTGCTGCCAGCACAATGCCAAGCAGCACTGGCAGGCACTCCTCCCTCCCTCAGCGGCGAACAGCAGTGGCGAACAGCACCTAAAGCGGCTGTCGGTGCGGCTGTCGGCATTCCATCATAGCCGTCGCGTCCAGTCCCGATGCCCTCCCTCTACCGTCCATAGCGGCCCTCTTAGGCGGCATCACGCAATTCACAGCCGAAGTTGAACGGAATTGATATTGCGCCATCTAGACTAGACTTAATCAAGAGGTGATACCAAATGCCATAATATCTCGCGAAACCTGAGGCTCAACAATGCTCTCTTCTTAATCCCAACCTCACTTCATGTCATGTGCACAGTTCGACGGCTTCAGTGATCAGGGGAAAACGTTGCTTTCATTCTTGGCGCTCTATTGATACTATCCCGCCGTGTACTATCATGCCAACCAATGTTCACTGGATCCTCAAGTCATCCGTTGACCCGTTCCAACACGCAACCATCGACATGTCCGACCACAGCTCTCCCACATTTTTGGACCTCGTCATAGTCTTCGTGCCTTCTGAGTCAAATCGTTTCTCGTTATGATCCGCTAACTATGCTACAATATCCGCTAAGATGCCTACACCCGTCAAGCATATGCTAAGAAAACAGTTCCATCGCATCACATCTGCAATTTCCGCCCATACTCCGAATAGTTTCCACATTTCGTGTGTGTCCTCTCTCCCGTCCGTGGGTTGAAGATGTGGCAGCCATGTCTCGCTACGTTGGGTGGTGTGTACACTACGGACAGTTAGCCAAGCGGCAACAAGACGCATTAGCTCGGTGTTGTCACGGAAGACCTACAGTGTAGAGAGACAACGAAGTCGCTCCCCTGGTTGGACATGCGATGCAATCCCAGCCCATCGGCCATATAGGCGACACCATTCTCCTTGAGTACACGCTCCGACGTCATCTCCATGGGCTTCTCTTTGTCGCCGTCGGGAAAACCGTACCGTGTCTCGGTGAGGTTTCCTTTAAGGACCTTCATTAAGCAATGGGCGTTACCGTGGTCGTGTATATGGCTTGCTTGGCCTGGCGACCAGACCAACACGAGCTGCATACAGACAGGATCTATTAGCATATGGATCTAGCAGCGACACCTGCGTGTCGTCTAGAGAACAGACGGTCTTACCAAGTTGGCTTTGCCGTTACCCTCATCCACGAGATTCCGAGTATAGGCCATTTTGTCGTCCGGCCAGTAGTACGGCGCCCATTCCTGGGGATTCGACGCATACCGCTCCAGCAGGTGTGTTAGGTCTTGCACATCCACATCGCTCGAGTCGAGACCCGACGAAGGGCCTAGGACATTCCTCATGTCTTCTACGAGTAGCTCAAATGCGTTCATGATGACGGAAGTTACGTGCTATGATGGTGGTGCGTGTACTGACTGAACATGCGATTTGAGACGTGCCAAATGGTTGACGAGAATACGTTCTGAGTATTCTTATGCTCATGCTCATGCGGGTAGGCCAGATGGCTCTGAGCAGGGTGGGGCTAGGGAATCTAGCGGTGTCGACTATTGAGCGATGCTCGGATAGACAGAATCAGTATTTCCGACGAAGGTCATCCTGCGATCCGGGTGTCTCACTGTACGGCGTACGTTGTCAGCTTCTCACCACCGGCTACCTATCCCAATGGTTCCGCTTTGTGCGTTTGGATTGGCACAGGTGCAGATGGGCTGTTAGCTTATTCGCGACCCCGCCAAATTCAGATAAGACTGCTTCCGCCACGGCAAAAGTACCTTTTCCACCCCCTGATCGAATACTGACAGGTGATCAATTCGCTATCTGCCCTAGTACAAAGCCTAGGGCTGTTCTTCAAATATAAAACGTAAACGAGCGGCGGCTGGCCGCAGCGGTACGCGTTATTTTGAGTTTAATGGTACGTAATTCCCCGAGTCTTTCCGAATGACGGACTGGCCTTGTGATTTACATTGAAACCACCACTTCTTTATCAAAAAGACGCTGGATTGGTTTTATGAAAACAAAGGAGCCATACCATCCAACAGGAGTCGCTTCGCTTTCTCTAGGACATTCCATCGTGACCAATCTTGGTTGCTCTCCTCAAACAAACTTCTTTCTAGGAGCGAAAGGGTACCTAGCAGAAATCCGGGCATGGGTCTTGGTCCTACATAACTTTGCAGGATACTTGCTTACTATGCGCCAAACTTGAATGTGCCGCGCTCGCACTAATGAACCCTGCTTCTAGCCATCACCAAGGGCGACGGTTCTTCATTTCTGAGACGAAACGATTCGATCATTTTTTAGCACACTCAAGCAAGTCGTCACACTGTCGAAGTCGAAGCCGAAGCTACATACGAAATTGCCTCGATAAACATGGTCACGATTCCCCGTTTCAAATTACCTATTCTCTCTATCGCCTGGCGACGGGTATTACGCTTATCCCGGGTGTTCAGTGCCAGCTTGGTACCCAAACCAGGGGGCCTTCAAGGATCCCAACTAGGCTGTGACTAAAGTAGTCCAGTGCCGGATTACGATCATATCACTATCGCTCGGTGAGAGCATAGTGTGTAATCCGGGACCTCAGCCGATACCAAGCGCACCAATGCACATGAAAACCCTGCATCCAGATATCTAGTAGATACTGTGTACAGTGGTAGTTAGCGCGGTATGTATATTCAGTGGTAGTGGTGCACTCTGCCTAAATTCACTGCGCAAAAGGTAATAAATACGTGAGTACAAAGAATTTATTCTAGATAGATAACTTGGAAATAAAATGATATCCCATTTACCATCTCACAAAACACAATGATCATGAACTGTTTGGCGGATGATGCTGTACACAGTGGCAGATGACGTACAAAGTCGCCAGTTCCGTAATACAGCAGCCCCCACTTTACGGCGGCGGCCGTATGTACCGGCGATATCGGCACACTCATCCATCCAATGAATATTATCTATCTCACTTACCTACTGTAGGTCCTACCACCATTCCATGAGACAACACTTAATGAATACCTTTATCTGGATTTAGGAATTTTTACTAGAACATATACAGAGAGTTGTAGTCAATCTATAGCGTTTCGTCTTCAATACCATGTATATAATCTGCGCGCACAATACAAGGCGGCTCACCTATGCCTCGTTAGATGTATAAGCTTACTGCTAAGATTGTAGTGTAGGTACCTATCTGACTGAGCTAAGCCAAGAGAGGCCAATCTATTTTTACCTATTCAAGATAGCTATAGGTAGTACATCATATACGACAGTTCGCATTCGACGTGTAACACTCACTAGATGAATAGGATTCACTCTGTACTCACTAAGGACGTGCTGAGTAGAAGGTAGGCAAGGCAGGGACTCCCGTGTATTACTATTTATGTATGTATGTAGGTATGTAGGTAGGTAGGTATGCGCCATTACGCGATGTGTAGGTATCTAGACCAAGGACAAGCATGCGGCGGCACGGAATAAGCAGAAGATGTGATTCGTCAATTCAACGCCGATGGATCCGAATAAGCTACCTACCTACGTAAGTGTACATGAGGAAATTCGTAATTCTGACAAGTGAGGTAGGTCATCCAGCCCGGCTAGATAGATCCATTGGGGTGAAGTGAAGAGAAGTGAAGTGATGTGGCCGTCTCAACCCATTCATCTGCATTATCCAGTTGAGGCGGATAATAAAACTCGTCTGCAGACAATGATAGGTCGATGAAAGACGTCTCCGCTTGTCCGTCTACCGGTTCGGCTTCCTCCGTAGGTACTACGGGCGCCTCGGACAACCCGTAGACCGCGTTGATCGCGTCGCAGTAGTCCGTGCAGTCGTCTAGGATGGACTCGAACTCGTTGCAGAATATCATCTCTAGGTTCTGGTCGCTGCAATTGCTGTTATTAAAGATGTTAATGCCACGCCTTATAATGTCGACGACCATATCGACGAAGCGATGTGATTCGGTAAACAGCTTGGTCTCATCTCTTGGTAACGCGTTGAACACGGTCACAACGATGAAGGTGCTCATGATGGACAGCATTCTGATCGGGTTGAAATCAAGCTGCTTCTCAGACAGTTCAGCCCAGCTATCGTTTGCTGAGAGAGCATTTGGGGACTTGATGTAGCAGTGTAGAAAGTAGAAGAACACCCAAGCATCCAACACGTATATGTTGTCTGGATTACTCGTTTTCACTTGCTGATAGGGAAAGGGAAGCTGCAGCTTGTCGTGTTTAATCTGCTCTTCGCACCAACAGAGATAGCGGCGGAGACAGCGGGACAGGACGCCAGCCTCCCTTCCTTTCTTGTCTTTGAGTATGTTTAAGGATCCCCGTTCCTTGGTTGAGTTGGTGAACAGCTGACTTAATATGGCGCGCAGGGAGACGATATCGCTGTCCCAGACTTGGGCTTCATCGACTCCTGCCGAACTATCTTCCTCGCTGGAGTCGCTAGATTCATTTAGGTGTAGCATTTTGTGACCCCCGTTATACTTCTTCCAACCCCACTTTGTAAACTGGTATCTGTCTGAGCCATATCAGCTTGTTGTTTACCACCTGACGCAATGATGAACTCAAGGGACAGGCTTCACGATAGCCCATCGGCGGGGGGAGGCTGAGTGCTGCATCAACATACTGCTACAGCGTCAGCTTTCAAGCTATTTTTGAATTGGGACAGGACATGATACGGACCATTGCTTTTGCCTGTTAAATTGCGGGTTAGTCTGCGAAAACACAGAATATAAGATGTTAGACTCACGTTGGTTTGAATTTGTAGGTCTCCGCCATGTACAACATCACTTCCTTCAAAGGCTTCTTTTGATATAAATATAGTTTCTTCAGCATAGAGCGATGTGCTCTCCATATTTTCTTGTCCATGCGGGCGTTCTTCTGAGTTTCGGTGTCCGTTCTGTTATCATTTGTCTCTGTTCTATAAGCAGTAACCTGCATGTGGGGATCCACACACGGTATCCCCATCGTCGCAGAGGGCATCGGGCAAAATGTCGTCGCCCAAGTGAAGCTGTAGATAGGACAAGAGGAAACCGGTAAGGTAAATGCTTGAAGATGTTCTAGCCTCGACAATCGATAGCGGTGACAACCAGGCGACAAGAACTGCAGGATAACTTGCACAATTATACCCAGCGAAGCAACATCTCTGTCGGATACTAACGGTCGTCATTGGTATAGCTGTCGATAAGTTATAAATGACAATCCTAACTAGTGAGGCATTTCGCATGAGGCAATGCGATGCATTGTCAAACGACCGGGCGGCCTCACAGCCAATGTCAAAAAAAAAAACAGAAGTGGAATTACCAACAATTTGTTTTGTGGAATTTCCACGGATGGCCGGACTATATGGTGGCTAAGTATATCGCTCATAACATTGGTGATATATTAAGTCGGAAAAGGCGAAGTAGTAGGCGACTGGCTGGGTATTGATAGTCTTCTCTTTTCTGGTTCGCCCTCAGGACATGGTCAAGGAGTCTAGCTTTCGTTGACCCTCAACCACTATCACTGGCAAAGCCACGTTTGGCAGCACGTGCGTGCGGGAGCAACGGCAAGGCTCAACATACCATCGTTCTGCACAATGCCTCACTTTGACAAATTCGGGTGTATTGACAACGACTTGCTGGCGATAGGCCAGTGGGTAGACGGCGACAGGGCATACAACCAGTGGGTTAAGACGTCACCCCGGCCAAAGAGGTACGACAAGCTTCTTCCAGAACAAACAACAGAAATCTGGCGTCGAAACTCTGCATCATATGAAGCCCAGTATACCAGGCGCAGTCGACGAGGCCATTGTGATTGGCGTCACGACTTGGACGATGAGTTTCTGGACAGCTCCCCAAAGGACAGAAACATGGAAGTCCGAACAACACAAACGACCCAGAACCAAGACCCAGCATATCGTGTGGAGACTCAAGGAGGACAGAAAGACGATACAGCCTCCAGACTCCCAGTTTTGCTGAATAGCATGCAATGCTATTTGCGTATGGTATTTCCTGAAGCTAGCCCTTATCTTCTATCTGAAGGGCTTGAAGGTGCGGGGTCACCACACCCTCCTGAGATATTGGGAATGACTAAAGACTGTAAATTGCTAGAATTCCAAAAGCTTGCTTTGGTATGAACAATGAGCTAGGGCACACAGCAAGCGGAGGAGGAGGAGGGGGAGGGGGAGGAAAGCGGGGGGGAGGAAACATCGTGTTACGGGCTTATGGTCAACATTGAGCCGCATCTGTCGAAACTCATAGAGGGAAGTTGAAAAGTCACTCACTCGATTTACGTTATACGGGCAGCCTGAGACTGCCAAGACCAATCTGAACGGCAAAAGGTGCAGACATGCCAGCCCTTCTTCAACATAATTCCACTTTCTGCCCCCCTCACCGAAGAAGAGGGCGAAGCTATCATGATAAGTGAGGACTAGTAGGGTGTACAAGCATGCTGCTTCACTCCAAAATGCAAAAGTCATCCCAGGTAGACGCGTAAGCAAGCAACTGAAAGGGCTGGTGTGCTAGTTTTTCATGAGGCTCTTCCATGGGCTTATGTCAGCTTACATAGCTTTGTGGAATGCCTACCGAGTGCCTACAGAAGTGCCTTGTGAGCTTGGGCAGTTGAAGATCTAGACATCGCATGCCACACCTGCGCCACGGGCAATTCCCAGTACGGTAGTGTAGTCTGCCTAAATTCATGAAGACGTGCATGTTGTGTACTGGGTGCATGGATCAGAAGAATAGAGGTATGTGGTTGGAGAGTCTCACCAGTTGGCCTAAGGTGGTGGAGATTTGCAGAGGTCGTTGCGGGGGCGGGGCGTGCTCTGGGGCGTGGAAATTGGCCGCCAAAGCGGGGTACCTGCTAGGTAGGTGCTGTCTACGCCTTGTGCACACCGAACGCGCTGAAGAACGAGTACCTACGAATCTGCTATGATTCATGAAGGAGGCAACCTTGGGCAAAACCGCAGTAAGCGCCCGAACTTGCTCACTACCTACGTAGTAAATCTTCATTCTCGGGTACCTATATCATCAATTACTATTACCTAGGTAGGTACTATAGGTAGGGCAGAGTAGGGTATACAAGTTAAGCTGGCTGCTTTGGGCCTTGGCCACTAATTACACCTTCACCTTCATTTCTTCAGCTGGCTACAGGATTCGCTAACGGGACATTCAATAAAGCATATCTAGATAATTCGTTACAAGATTGTTCTCTTCTCCCTTCCATTGTATCGTAGGCCCTGGGATGTAGGACTTGGGTAGGTAATGTCTGCTCAAATAAATCGCCCGGTGAAAGGTGGTATGAGGCGTATTAGTGTAGGTTTTGGGAGTGGATGATTACATTAAATAAACGACTCTCCTTCTACATACCTTCAGTGCGTAGGTAGTAGTATTGTTCACCCCTAGCTCTGCTACTTTTCCATCGAAGTCAGCCCTGAAATAGCCAAATCGAATTGGATAATTAGATAACTAAGGATATCTCAGAAGAAGCTTCAGGCGACATATTCCCGCACAAGCTTTGTATTTCTCCTTTTTGATTGCACTAGGTGTTCTGTGGCTGGTTAAAATGGTAGCAAAGTTTATAGGTAGTAGGTAATACCGGCAAGACATTATGTTCTCTGACAACTCACGTTGTGAGATTGCAGCAAGCCAATTGGATCATCGTCGGCACAGGGGCGCATAGTCGGTCTTGGATCATGCAGTAGATCGAAGATCTAGGTAGCCAAATTCCGTACGCACCAGGCTGCACAGATAGAGAACAGTGGTTCGCCCGGAGCACCTCCTCCTCACCTTCTCAGCAAACCAAGGAGCCGAAACAGTTTCCCACGCGTTCTGTGGCATCGATGGATCCTCCCTCGACTCGCGGCTTGGTCGATCGCCTTCCAAAGCGGTTAGATACGGCCTTCGCATCAAGGTCGCTCAGAGTCGTCTGAACTCCCAGTTTTCCCGCTTCGTGTCAATTGCAATGGCATCGCAATATTTTGGAAAAGTACGAGATTAATAATACTCTCACCATTCTCCAAAGCATCAAAGCATTGGGTTTTCCATACTCAATGGATTCCCAATGTGACTCAGACCAGCTTCTGCCGCACTGCATTGGAATTACAGAATTCTATGACAAGGTGTGATGGCAAAAGGTAGACGGTGTGCATTGCCAGACATGATCAATGCGTTCCGCTTGGCAAGGCGCGTGACTGTTATGACGAACCATCGCATGTTTCATTCCTGCAAATGCTGGGCAAACCGGGAAATCTTGTCACACATTCGTGCAATCTACGATCCGAACTCATTTCTCAGGTTGGCTGATTGGCTGGCTGACATACAATAGTAGATCGACTTGCCCGAGCTGTTCCACTACCTCGACTTCCTACCACAATGAGGAGACAGACACACACAATACCTAGTACCTAGAAGATTACGCAATGAAACAGGCAGTCAACTCGTATGCGAGGAACTATGCCATCTTTTCCATAGCGGCTCATATTAGGTCCATGAAGTGAATGCAGGAGGAATTCAATAGGAAAGGGTAGAGCAAGGGAATACTGAAGACTTTTGTTTGCAAGCATGAAGATATCCGTTACATAAGTAAGTACATAAGTGCAGCAGGTCTGGGTCAAGCCAACGTCACAGCTCTTGGCTGCCCCGCACCTTTCCCGTGCTTAGTGGACTTGTGGTTTCAGCGCGCCGCCTATTTCAGCTAGGCCTGTTCGTTCCGTGTCGTCATACCAAGCAAAGAGGGAGGCACGGTATGCCATCGCCAATATATCTCTTTGTCCTGCCCAAGCCATTGCTACAATATTTCGTTCAGTCCAGTTACGAATGCAGCTCTTCAGAATCTTCAATTGCGTTCTCACCTAATCTCAGCGTCCTCAAACTCGAAGTTGTAATTTCTCGCCTGGCCATTACGTGCTTGAAGCCATCATGGAGCGTGTGCACGGAAGTACGTCTACCCACCCTCGATCCTCCACTCTATCCGCATAGGTCTGCTGCGAACGAAACGACAGAACTGCCTTGCTAACAATTGCCTTTCGCATATTGCAGTCAACCCTTTCGCAAAGCGCGAATCCCATTCGAAGAACTCTGTCATTACTTACAAGATTCTGACTATCGTCACTTGGTTGCTGTCCGTCATCGTCTCTGTCTATTACACGCTGCATAGTCCGGACGATGGCGTTTGGGCGCGACGGAGAATCTGGAAGCAAAATGACCACTATCATACTGCTTTCCGGATGAACTATATTATTGCCAGCATCTACTGGTAAGGGTGCCATCAGCAACGATTTCGACAGAAATGGCTGTCTAACTCTTGCCGCTAGGATCGTCCTCTTCGTTCTCCAAGGTGGCTACATTGCACATCTCTTCTCGGGTAGCGTTGAGCGTGTCAACTCGGCCTGTTCCGTCGGCAGTCATTTTATTCTCAATAATTTATTCCACTTCGCTTTTGTGATCCTCTTCGTGCGTTCTCTGTTCGGCTGGGCCGAGCTGTTCATCATCCTCAACTTCATCAACCTGTCCTCGCTGTACTTCCGTCACAGCGGATATGCCCGATTTATCCATTGGCCAGTCGTCTCTGGACCACTCGCCTGGACATTCGTCGCTATTTACTGGAACGGGGCAATAATGGTTCCCAACTCGCAGACCTTGGTCGCACGCATCTTTGGTAATGTCTTCATTTGGAGCATTCTCGTCTATGGACTATTTTTTATCCTGGCTTACAAGGTACGTAATTATTCCCCACGGCTGGGTGCTTGGCGATACTCACATGTTTAGGACTACACGATGGGCTTCAACCTGTCGGTCTTATCTGCTGCAATTGGTGTTTCCCAATTCCTCCATAAAGTCATCGCATTGCAGTGGATTTTCGCGTTCACCATCATGGCTGTCCTGTTCATCGCGACCGTCATAGTAGCCGTGCCCGCTGCTGGAGGAAGATACCACGGGCGTGACGCAGAGCGAGCACCTCTGCTGCCGGAACACTCATAATCGACTGACCACTTACGTCTCAGTAAGGCATGTCATTTGAAAATATGATCCGAGGTTCGCCTCGCTTCTAAGATTGATTTGAGCATATAGCGCACGGCGTTAACTGTATGATGAATTGCGAGCGCAAAGTTTGAAATTGGATAGCGGGATATGACGTAACTGAATATTAAAAATGAAATGATCGTGGTAGCTATATTGATATTTGAATACGAGATCAACACGCATGCGTTATACCTATATCGAATGACTTGAGTGAGGTCGAATTTTTTGGACTATTAGCTTGAACCTTGTACTTAACCGTGCCATACCCCACTCTTTTTTCGGTTTGCAGATTGCATACGAAGTACTTCCAAGTACATAAGTACATAGCTATATGTACCTACGTAGGTACCTACTTAAGTATAGGTATGCAATCTGTAGCCTGAAAAAAAAAGAGTGGGGTGTGACACGGTTAGCGCCTATCAGCGGGCTACCTAGCGTCCATCACTGAATCGATAAGAAATGGCCTCATAAAAACAAGCAACCGAAGTGGTTGTGTACTTTACGTCGTCATATCATCGCAATCATGAATTTGAATTACCATATCCCTCCCCTGTTGCGGATAGGAACCGATATCTGCTATATTCCGAGGATCAGGAAAATCCTGAGGGGCAAATTTGCTACTCCATTCATTCATCGGATCTTGCATCCCGAAGAGATTGATTATCCACCGACAGCTAACATCTTGGGGGCCTGTAAAAATCCTGCAGACGGCTCGATCACGTTTAACGCCGTTGGCGAGGGCTTTAAAAGGAGCGGGGACTCCGTTAAATTCTACCGAGCGGTGGAATTCATGGCCGGCAGGTAAGAGAACTGCTATCCTGCTTTACTCTATGGCATGCCCACGCTCATCGGCCCAGGTTCGCTGCAAAGGAAGCGGTAACAAAGGCACACCCGCCTTTCCACTTGACTTTCAAACGGATCCAAATCATACGAGAGAGTGCTTTTCTGGATTATAAAGATCCGAATTATATAGATCCAATCAAGCTAGGGCTGAAGGAGGCGAGTACAGACACAAAGAAGAAGAAGAAGAAGAAGACAGACACAGAGAAGGGGAAGAAGACGGACAAACCGAAGGAGATGACACCGAAGGAGATGATAAAGAAGGAGATGGAGGCTGAGGACGAGGAAGGTTACTACTACTTCAGGAGGCACGAAATACAAGGCGGGGCGGTCATAGCCGTTATTCACTTGTTAACCGAACCAGCCGTCCTCGCCTCTGTTAGCATCAGCCATGACACGAATTATGCTTCGGCTGCCTGCATCGCATCGTATAGGTTCTGAATGAGGCCTTGAAAAGGCGTCATGTCCTAGTCGCATGTGCTAGGCTATAGGTTTCTCACGGAGCTACCCTTCGGCTGTGGCATGAGGGTTTCCACAACATGCCAACGACCAGCTAGCAGTTGTCGAAATTTATGTTTCGCACAGAATCGTGCTGCCACTGGCCACCGCAGGCCACCGCAGGCCACCGCAGGCCACACACACACTTCACGAATTCGGCGACAAGCTGGGTGCCTCGCGCGCATCGTATCCGCGATTGTTCTTATTTAGGGTTCGGCGCGTCACTATTCAATGGCGTCTGGTTTTAATATGTCACAAGCGCACGTATACACGATGCGATAATGATGATTATTGGGTTTTCCAAGCATGTTAATATTGATTAAAGACTCACCTCGACGGAGTGTATGCTACCTTCATGTTCATCCACCACGCGAAGCATCCAGTATTCAGTGATACAGACATGAATAAGAACGCATTAGGTGCATTCCGCAGTCTTACTGCATGGTTGCATCGTTCACAGTCCCATAAGTTTGCCAGGCGAACCACGCTAATGTCACCTGTCCTCCGATGAGCTCATGGTTACTAACACCAAGGCTTCCTACCCCCCTATCACATCGGATATCTCCCGCTAGAGATCATGACCGAAACGTGAAAGTCATATTATCCTATCATGTTCGTCCGAATTTATGTCTGGCCCAAGACTGTAAATGTCGTTAAGCGTAGAACAACTCGGGGAAACGCAGGCCAGCTGGGTCCACACGCTCTTCCTCTTACCCAAGGAAATGGGTAACTAATCTCTTGTATCCAGATATGCTATCAATCAGTTCAGGAACACGGATATACTCGTCCGGCCCATGCGCCACGAGGATCGACCCGGGCCCATAGAGAACCCTCTTGCTGCAGAACTCGTCCCTGAGTCGCGGCACGTCTGTCCCAAACGCGACGGGCGCCGCCTCGAAGCCCTCGATCTCCCAATCCAGCAGAGCTTCCGGGTACTCGAAGACGAACCTCAGTTCCACGTTCGCGTGTCGCGAGACGATCTCCTCGAGCTTGGCTTTGATGCCCGGCAGGTCGGAGACCATGCGCACCTCGCAGAGGGCCCTGGCAGACGGGGCGACGATGTTATGCTTCTCCCCGCCTTGCAGGGTCCCTATGTTGAACGTCGAGGGGCCGAGAAGGTCTGATTCCGGCCACTTCGTCGCCGAGAGCTCATTCAATACCGTGAGGAGCGCGGATGTGGCGCTTTTGCCCAGATGGGGGTAGCCCGAGTGGCTGGTTGGCTTTTTCGTCAATATCGTCTTCTGGGCACTTAGCAGACCGATGAAATGCCACTTACCAGGCGACGCCCTGAGCGATGACCTCGAAGGCGACTTGTCCCTTGTGGCCCTTTGCGAGCTTGCTCTCCGTCGGCTCGGCGAATATCCCGGACTCCCACGTAACCCCCATGTCGTTCGCGGCAACCATGCCATGACCGCCGTTCTCTTCGCCCACGACAAATAACAATGCGATGTCTCCTCCCTGTTCGCGGACTTTTCCTTCTCGCCGGAGTTCTTCTGCGGCGATTATTTGGGCCGCTAGCGGGCCTAGATCGTCGGACGAGCCCCTCCCACGGATGATGTCGCCGTCGATACTTAGAGGGATGTGCGGCGGCACCGTATCCATGTGCGCTGTGAGGAGCACGCGCGTCGTGCGCGCTGAACCGAGGTATGCGTAGACGTTATGCCGACTGGACCCCGGCGCAATCGGTATGCGCTCGACGGTGTAGCCTAAGCCTTGCAGATGTTGTTCTAGGAATACGCCTATGTCGTGTTCCAGTTCACTTGTGCTCACGATGGACATGAGAGACTTCAATAGGTGCACTACAGGGTGGTCCATGATTAGCGGCGAATAGCGTTAAATTGAATAATGCTGATATGTACTAGCTAATTACGTCTCCTGAGAGGTCCGCGCGGCTGTCTGTTCCACGTCTTATATACCGATTGTCGGAACGAACGGCGTGCGCGGCGGTAGCGGAGTTATTTATTTATCTCGGCAGATCTCCCGCTTCGATCCATCGGCTCGGAACATGGACCTGCCAATTCATTAGCTAATAGATCCGGATTGTGACGGACGGATGAGGCTAGCAATGTGGGTATGATCGCGAATTATTGCTATCCTTCTGATCGGATGTAAAAGACTCTTTTATCGGTTTAAAAGATCATTGACTCACTAGGCCTTGTCAAGCTCTGAGACTGGCATGCTTGTTATACTACTATATTGCTCGCCGTCATGACATCTCGGAAGAGGATCCGTCGGTTTCACGGGGGGGCTTGGAACTCCGCTGCCTTAGTCAATTGTATTCATGATTTGCAGACATCTATTAACCTGTCTCATCTATATGTGAGCTCTATCTAAGTGTACATCATTTCTATAAAAAATGAGTTATTGATGTCAGAAATCCTCCACTTCCATCATGCCAATGAATAAGTCTTCCAACTTAGTGTCAACCGACTATCAGCCCTCAGCGCATGTAATCATGCTGTCGAGCTGCGTGCCTTCAGCTCGTCCAGGCGAGATAGGACATCGGATTCATTCCAAAGCTCGCCGGATTCCGACGTGGGCGCTGTGAGCGTAGGCGGACCATGTTGTTCAATGGCATAGCTAGCAGCGACCGCGCCCCTCAGACAGGCCTCCCTCGCATCCTTCGTTTCTTGGAACGCAACTGCGAACGCTCCCAGAAAGGCATTGCCCGCGCCAGTAGCGTCAACTACTTCCTCGACGTCTTTACCGTAATACGCAGGTAGCCACTCGGGCTGCTTGCCACTTGACAGAACCATAGCGCCGTGGTACCCTGCGCGAACCACGAGAACGCCCTGTCGGTCGGGTCCTATGCCTGCCTCGACAAAGCGACTAGCTTGCATCTCGACGCTAGACTGTGAAAACTCGATGTCTTTCTCGCTTTTCCCGTTGAAAAGACGATGCAACTCTATGTGGTTGGGGGAAAGCACGTCTACGAGGGCGGATGCTTTGATATGGCTCTCCAGATTGATAGAGTCACAGCCCATAGGTGCCGGCTCCCAGACGATCATCGGCCGCTCCGTTATGCCATGTTCGGCTCTCAACCGGAGTAGGGTTTTGACTTGGTTTTCTAGATCATGCGGGAGCGCCAAGAAGTGAAATGACTTGGAATAGAGTAGGATGGAAGCATCCAATTGTATGGTCTCGGGGCGTAGCGGCGAAGTAGTATAAGAAAATCTCGTCCCTATGGTATTGTCAACTAATGTCACTTGTTGCATCGACTGGTTCCGCGGGTCACCTACCACCGAAGCCATCGTCTAGATATTCCAGTAGACCCCTGGTACATGGCTTCTCGGGGTCGGTGAGCACAAGAAGGGTCAGTTGCCATGACTTCAGCAAGGACAACAGTGGCCCGGGCAAATCACATCCGGCAGCAAGAACGCAACCCACGTCAGCGGCGTGAGGGCTGGGCTTGAACAATCGGGCCCCAAGAACAGCTAATCTTACACATTAGCAACCCCTCTCACTCAACACAGCATCGGCACTGATAATGATCAAAAGACAGAGGAGAAAGCTTTTACCGAAAAGGCCAGAACCACCCGGTACGTCATAAGCCGTACGTTGGTGCGAGAAGCGCAACTCGTCGAGAATGGTCATTCCCATCGATACAAACACAGGGTACCTCTCTGGTGCTGCATTGGCTCCATTTTGGTCCATGCTGACAATTGCTCTCTGTGTTTTTAGTAGACTAGATGAAGCTTTGCGGTGCGTCTGCGGGGAATATCCTGGGGAAAGTCGTGCAGTGAGGTTATAGTGAGGACGAGTAGGGCGCAAGAGAGGAGAAAAACAGCAGCGGGGTAATCGCATCGCAGAACACACAGAAACGCTAAAGAATATTGGTGATCGAAATCGTCGAGTTAGGTACCAATTATCTGGAGCTAGATGGAACGTGTCTCTTTTTCATGCTGTGTGACGAATGCGCCATCACCGAGATCGCAGACTGAGCATTGGGAATTGTTTCATCGATCAACATCCGCGTATCGCAGCAACATACCTATGGTGTCCAACATTCATGTAGATGAAGGGTGCTATATGACCTGCCCTGTGCGCAAACAGACAAGGCGTTTGTCATGCCCTGGAAAGCGTGCTGAAAAACGCCTGTGGTGATCACGGGGCAAAAGAAAACCTGTAATGCTTACAGTCCATTCACTACTACCCCTATAGGCGCTGTGCATACTCGTTGCATAAGGTCAGTCTTATGAAGTATTCAAGCCTCACTCCTAGTGAACATTCCATCCTGGGTGTGATTGGTCCTACACTGTAGCCATATTACGCCAACGGACGATCCGTGCAATGTATAAGACCGACATGAGTTTCACACGCGCACAGCGCGCTAGAATGACGCCTCGAGTAATACAGACTATTTTATGGGAGGGTTGGATAGAGTGGTGGCTGTCGAAGATCGGTATAGCCTGTCAGCTCATATATATAGGACCAGGCACATGCTACCGCATGGAAGTTTTTAAACAAAACTAAGATCGTATTGGAGATCAGAGGATTTTAACATGTAATAGCGGGAGCCCAGCTTTAAGATCATCATATACGACACGATCTTTTGACTGATCTCAACCACAATCTCTTGACTTCCTAAGGTATTGTCGAACATGTCAATACTTGAACATATCCCCGATGGGGTACCAGACGGCGTATCCGAAACAATGGCTGCCTTTAAAGGAGATGGAAATAAACTGAAAGTGAACCTAAGTCCCGGACTATACTGCGACGAGAATGCGAAGCCATGGGTCTTGCCTGTAGTGAAAGAGGTAAGCTCCTTCAGCACCTGAACAATGATACTAAAACAGACAACCTGTGCCATGCTGATCAGCTCTAGGCAAGACATAGCCTTATATCAGATGGTACTCTCAACATCTCCCCCCAGACAGGCGACCCTGGTTTTGTGTCCGCGGCGAGAGAAATCATGTTTGGTGATGCATTGGCTGATAAATCAATCACATCTATTCAAACAATCGCAGGGACTGGGGCGAACCAGTTCGCCGCACGATTCCTGTCTGATACCCTGCAGCCCGAAACCGTGTGGCTTTCCGATCCCACCTGGGAGAATCACACTAAGATCTGGATGCATGTCAATCCTGCGATCAAACAACGATATTATCCTTATTTCGACTACAAGACATCGACACTGGACGTTGAAGGCATGATCTTCTTATTAAGAGCGCAGGCGTCCAAAGGGGATGTTCTTATTCTACACGCCTGCGCACACAACCCAACCGGGCTCGATCCTTCTAAAGATGATTGGCAGCGGATCGCAGAGGTTTGCGAAGAGAAACAGCTATTCCCAGTCTTTGATTGCGCTTAGTGTGTCTTGACCTGGGTACTCCTGTAGATGATAGGCTCCTTGTTTGCTTTTTAGGAACTTGCTAACCGCCTGCTGCTTTCGTAGTCAAGGGTTTGCCTCGGGGAACATAGATGACGACGCTTGGGCGATACGCCATTTCATAACACGTTCCAAGGGTCCCATTGAGTTGGCAGTGGCACAGTCGTTTTCTAAGAACTTCGGGCTTTACAGTGAACGGATCGGCTGTCTCCATATCGTAACGAAGAGTCCAAACATCGCGGCCAAGGTGGACGCACTACTGCGGACGATATCGCGGGCGCAGATCAGTTCAGCGCCAGCCTTCAGCGCCAAAGTTGTCGCAATGATCTGGGAAACACCAGAGCTGAAGCGAAAATGGCATGGTGACCTGCAGACTATGAACACTAGGCTTAGGAAGATGAGAGCGAGACTGCACAGTGAGCTCACGAAGAGGAAGACCCCTGGGGATTGGGATCACTTTTTAACGGATGTGCGGCAGCCCCGATGAATTCATTATTATCACCGTCCACCCCGACCGTGGCTAATTCATGACTAGATTGGAATGTTCTCTATGACTGGATTCCCTCTCCAAAAAGTCAAGAGACTTAGAGAGGAGTTCCATGTGTACTTGATGCCCACCGGCCGACTCTCTTTCACAGGCTGTAAGACCCCATTGTTTACAGGAAGAAGCTGCAATCTTTCTCGTATTATGAGATTACTGACTCGGCGCAACAATAGTGACGGAAGGAAACGTCGAATATGTTGCTGATTGCATGCACCAAGTCTCACTAGAGTAGATACATATATGCCGTTATAAGCCCATACCTCTAAGAGGCTTCCCAAAATTTGATCGGCTTTCAAAGCATTGAATTTCTACATGTAGTTAGATAACTAAAGTGACGACCGAAAGGTACAATGACAAACTACGCCTCCTCGTATCTCCATAGACGCATTTTCATCACACCTGTGCGTAAAAACCTCTCACCAGCTCTGCATCGCGACCTTTCAAGCGTATTCCAGTCTCTGGCGGTAAAGATATACAGAACGAACCCAGAAATGACTATCAGACATGAAGTGGTATAACACCGCCTTCTATCCCAATCAAGATCCCGAGGCACCAATAATGTGATATCAGGAAGACGTAAGAGGGTCCTCTCTGATACGGCCGATCCCGAGAACGGTATCTTTCTTCTCACTTGTAAGGTGATGCTGTCTCACAAAGAGGTTAAGAAAGGATGAGAACCCCGCGAATGCAACGTACTATGCAACCAGAATTAGCCAGGGGCTGGATACTAAAACGTAGCCCTACTCACAGATATCCAGACAACCTGAACAGATTGATAGTAAGCTTGTCTGACCGTGACCTGTTGATCGCTTGTAAGGCTCGAAATCCTCTCGACATTTGCTGTCGCATTGCCACCGTCGAATAAACTGGCTATTTGACTTCCGAGCTGCTCCTCAAGTGTAGGGTTCATGCTACTCATTTCGTTCTGGAAAATGACGCCGCCGACCACTACCGAAATCGCTGTGGCAATGGAACGCAGAAAACCCATCGTAGCTATGACGGCAGCTGTATCGTGGACCGTGGTAGAAGCCTGGGCTGCGATGATAGGTGCCTCGATGTTAAGACCCACGCCAACGCCAGTGATAATCTGGAAAACAATAAGCTGTGCTAGATTTTCCTCCATTTTGAGGTAAATGAATAAACCAACACCAAGAGTCAGCAGAACTTGAGCTGTATACATGAGTGGCCGGTACTTCCCCGTCTGCTGTATGAAGACTCCGGCGACTGCTGCTGATAGCGAACAGGACACTATCAACGGCAACATGTATAAGCCCGACGTCAATGCACTAGCTCCCAACACCGATTGGGAGTACAGTGGCAGATAGTACGTGATCCCTATAAAGACGTACGCGTTGAAAGCGAATACGCCGTAAGCAGCAGCCTTGGACCAAGTAGAAAGCAAATGGAGTGGGACTATGGGGTTATGGGCAAACTTCCACTCGTTCACAACGAAGATACCTATCGTCACCGCACCAAACACGATGAGGTTGATGACTGCCGCGGAGGACCAGGGGTGAACTGTATCACCAAAGTCTAAGCCCAGCAGTACCATCACCGTTCCGCCTAGGCACAATAAGCTACCGGTCCAATCGATAGCCTTAATGCCAGCCCAGATGGGGGTGCTCGGGGATGGTAATTTGAGAAAAAGAAGAAGGCCGATAAAAACAACACCCCCGATAGGTACTATATGAAACAGGAAGGTTCAGATATATGCACGTCGGATAAACAGGGGATGGGCGAACACTTACAGTTGATCCAGAAGCACCATCTCCAACTTCATTTGAGGAATAATGGTTAGCAAAGGGTAATGCAGCTATCGCGATAACGAATTGAACAATTCAAGAACTGACCTTAAGCGTGCAGTGAACACACCGCCAAGAACTGGGCCAACTGCGCTACCTATTGCCCAGACGATGGATGTAATAGCAAGATACAGCCCGCGTTCGCGCAGAGAGAACATATCGCATATGATGGTGTTGACCATTACGCTCATGCCAGAGGCACCGATACCCTGGACGACGCGAGCACCTATGAGAGTGCTGACTGCAGAAGTTGTAAGTATGAGATTTCCCATCTATCAAACCATTCAGACGGATTCACGAGAGAATAAGAGTAACGAGATCTCGCCGAAAGCTCCGTGTTTTTATATTTCCTCTGAGGAATGAATGAAGAGTCTCAACATACTGTTAGGCGAGAGGGCACAGAGAAGGCTGCCAACGAGAAAGGTAGCCAATGCCGATAAGATGATGGGCTTTCTTCCCCAGATGTCTGCCACCGAGCCCCAAATAGGCGTTACAGCTGTGAACCCGAGTATGAACGCAGAGCCTATCCAGATGTATCCCGAAGTAGAATGAAATGAAGCGACGATGGAAGGCACGGCTGTCGTCACGATCGTGAGATCTAGCGATGAGAGGAAGGCAGATAGACAGAGAGATGCCATAGTTAGGGCAATACTCGTAGCTGACGGGCCTTTTGCGGCCCCCGTGTCGGCGTGAGCTGGAGAGGTTGTGACAGTAGGCTTGTCGCTTGTGACGTTGATTGTGAGCATGTCATTTTTAAGACACTCGGTAGTATTGGATTTTCGTTCCTTCCCTGGGTCATTGCTTGGTACATCGCTTGTTGCCATAGTTAATGTCGGTAATGATTGCATTGTAAATCGAGGATCGAGACCTAATTTGCAGGTTATATCCGTTTTCTATACTTGATAGCAGCGGCTGGATGTTATTGGAACCCTATTCGCTTTGAAAGTTGACTGCTTGAGGAATATATTTCCCAGGAGGCTTTTTACAAGTTGATTTCCTACTCCTTTTTATATCTACTTCGGCAACGTATTACTCTTAGACAAACCGTGTCCACTTACAGTGTAAAGACATATTTCATACTGTCGAGGTCTTGGCGGTGTGTCCAAGGTCTTGAATGCCCCTGCTGCCAGATCTTTCAGAATTTCCCCTGATCTCCCCTCTTCAAGTATGATGACGGATCTTACTCCACGTCTCACCCTGTACATATGACTAAGAAATTCTCTAGACCTGCAGTATCATGGTCATGAACACACAGCCATAATTTTGAATACAGTGTTCTAGTAGAGTTAACACAGGAGATTAGAACAGGATTACTTCAATATCGCTGCGCAAAATTGGTGAGGTATTTTCTATTTACGAAGTATTAAGTACTGCAATTGTCTATATATCAGGGTTGGAACTTCTTTGTGCGTCTAAGCCACGGTTGTTAATGACAACAATACTGACATCAACAAATTGATTGTTTCGGATTTTAAGTCGAGGCTCTTTGTCATCTTACAATGTGAACATTCATGAAGAAATAGAAATCGGAAAAGTAGCTTGCAATTATATAAGTCCTGGCGAATTCAACATGTGGAAGAAGCCTCTTCTCTGGCCACTACATCGGAACAATAATCTTGAAGGAAGAAACCATAACCTTAAGTCACAGCCCACCAAGTTGATAAAAATGTCCGACAGTCTAGGCCTTGGGTTTTGGCTTGTTTTTCTTTTCGGTATCGGCAGTAAGAAGTTCCTGCATGGAGACACCCTTATCGCATGGGAGACTGGTCTAGGCTATTCAGCGCCTATTTGCACCACACTTAGCGAAGTATATCGATATGAAAAGAACGTTCTCAAGGCGTTTATCGCCTTATTAGTCGCCATTTCTAGAGGCCTATATATCGCCATCAAGCCCCAGCATATCTTTACCTTAGAATATGTCCTTGCTAACCTATACGTTCTTTACGCCATTGGTGTTATAGTACTCTCATACCAAGCCTGGCGAAACGCTGATTACGGCAAACGGACCGCCAAAAAGAAGTCCCGTGAATCCGACAGCCCAAGGCCCACCTACGCCTGCGGAATCTGTTCCTTAAGCTTTCCACTCGAGGACTTATTTACATTTGACTGCCCTAGAAGTCACACCTATCATGACAGTTGCCTCTTTGAGAGAGCTCGTCAAGGCCAAGCGATCAGGAATAGGTGTCCCGAATGTGACGCAGACCACCCTATTAGGCAACAAACTTATCCTCGATCTGAACCAAACTTCTTAGACAAGTCTCGGCTGATGTGGTACATCAACTCACTGTTCAGTCGTCGCATTCGCCTCCTCGTTCGTAGATTCGGCTACCAACAGAGACCGGCTCTTCAAAATGCGTCTCCTATGCGAGAAAGGGCTTTGCTTCAAGCTCTCTGCTTAGTCTTGGTTGTGCACATGTTTTCTATGACGTCGCTCGTTATCTTCGTCTATATCGTTCATACAGTTCACAGCCTACCGTTTGGTTGGCTAGTCCAGCTTTTTATACTTCTTTACATAACGGCAACTCTAAGGTTTGTTTCACTCTTTGGCGCAATGTGGTACGCGGAATACGCTTACGAGACGCGACAGTTAGTATATCTTCCGAGCTCCCCGGCGGCCGATGTTTACTTCAACGCTCGTATAGTTATAGACTGGTTTACAACCACGACTTATTGTCTGCTCAGCTATTGCGGTCTCAACCTGGATCAACGGCAAGAGCTTCCTCGCCGGGAAACTCTGATGAAGCAAGCGAGGGAGCTGTACAACTTCTGCTCTACCTTTGTACCTCGACTATTGTTTTTTTATTCTGTTTGCTTTATAATGGTTCCCTTTGGGATCGCAGTCTCTTCATTCTGGATGGCTGTTTTTGACGAACTTTTTGCCTGGATTAACGGCCACGACTTTCACCTGTACATCCACTTGTGGGCATGGCTAGTACTACTGTTCTTTGCTACGATTCAACCTCCCTACATAAACGTCGTATTGGGGGTTTACCGGCGCTTTCTAGCCCTTGCAGTCGTCTACACTTTCTACACCTTTTCTCACAATCCGGCACGGGCGGTAGTATATTCTGTAATCCTCTATGGATACGTTACATCTCCTGGACGGTGGGGATTAATCAATATCGTAGGCGTTGTTTCGGCTATTTATGCTGTAAATTATTTTCACAATTAATTATTAATACTACTTTTTGAACTTCATCAAACGCTCATCCACTACGCAGAATTGCTACTTTAATTTTGAATTGAACCATAACATCTTATGAAGTATAATACTTTACTGTTCCCCCTCGAACTACTCAGGAGTCAGGGGTAAAGCATGTATATACGTATTATATTTTGTAGCGTGCAACACGCTAGCGATATGGGGCTAGACTGGCTACCTTGATGCTTCTCTATATTTGGTAATGATGCAAATAACTGAGCCATCTTGTTGCAGATATCTGAAGCAAGTGCTTAGGTAGGTATCCGCTGGATATATGCTCTTCACCAGTTGCATAAGCGACTCGGCATCCCTTTCGCCCAGTTACCAACTCCAATTGTTTGTTACCTACTTATGTATCTCCATCCCCATCACCAATACTCGCGTTGCAACAGCGTAGGCGCAACCCACAACAATTAACTTAGTTCCAGTTTATCCGGATTGTGAATGAAGCGTAGGCTTGGAAATTAAATTCCAACCTACAGCTACCAAATAGGGTCTGAGCCTTGGGCCAAGCAATGATAAGTCTGAAAACAATGATCCCATCAAAATTATGTCTTTGTTACATGACGCCACGTAGGTTTTAGTGCTAGCGGGGGTCTAGCTAGAGGGGCCAAACTGTCTCGAATCGGCACTTGACTCAATTAGTTGTCGACATTTCTCCTTGTTCTCTTTCACAGTACTCGTACAGCCCGATGATTTTACGAAAAAAAGAAAGACAATGTCAGCTTCAGTTGATGCGCCGGCGAACGAACATAAGCAAATCGCAAGGGTCCCGGGCCACCCCGCCACGCGCTTTTTACGCGAATTCGCGTATATAAATCCCTGTACCCAACGCAGTCAGTTTTTACCTTCTGACCTTCTTTTTATATTCAATCGAATTGCCTTTTCATACTAAATCTCACGATGCCTTCAATTTCCAAAGAAAAGCGTTATTAGGGCGCTATTCACAACGTTAAGCTTGGTTTAGGTATTAAAACGGCAACACGAAAGTAGGATATTTCTAGGACCACTTTACAACGCCGTCTTAACGGAATTCCAACCCAAAAAGAGATAAATCGAAGCTTCTAATCTCTCTTACCTTATTTAAAACGCCAATTAATGTATTGGGCGGTTGGCCAAGCTAGATTAAGCTATACGCCGTTGTTAATTAAATTCCGAACCCTTACAAATTCTATGCTTAATAATATCGGCACCGTTAAAAAGGTTTCTCCATCATAGCATTAAAGCTTTATTCGGCAGAATCCATCAATCAAAACTACTAAATCCCATATAATTAACTATTTAAAAGTTAACGGCGCTACAGTAGCTAATATTAACCTCTTTTTTAACCAACTCGAAGCTCCAAAAGTCGTTAATATTCCAAAAGACCGTTAGTATAACGCAAACGAAATAAGGATCGGGCAAGGCATCAGTAATAATCATTAAGTTATCTGCAAAATAATTAGCCATCTAGCACTCAAAAAAAACATCGATAAAAGCAAATGGATAACAATATTAAAATATATTACCGCTAACAACTATGCCCTTCCGCCAGCAATAATCTTCAAAAGCAAAAATATTCAACATCAATAGTTTCCGCAACGGAATATAGGCCTATAGGATGACTGGTTCTTCCGGGCCTCACCTAAAGGGTGGTCTAACAACAAAATCGCATTAGATTAGCTTAAAGAGGTCTTTATACCGCAAATTCAAACCCAACACAGCAATAAATAAGTGGTATTAATATACAACAGCCACAATAGTCATACAAATAACGTCTTTTTAACAACCTATATGTTAAATAAGGTATAGCTAATCTTCTATAAGCCTTACTACAATCACGTTATACAGGCGTTAAACGTTAGAATCTTCGGACCATTAAAAAAACAGCTTCGTAATCACCTTCGCAAATGCCCTTCGATCAGTTTAAGCATCAAGCCTTCTAAAAAAAATATGCTAAAAGCATTACAACTTACGAGGATCGATATTTTAATGCCTAAACAGGTTAAAAACGTATAAAGAACAGCTAGGATATTCCCGCAGGATCGAACTAAGCCGTTATCTTCGAAATACATAGTATTAGAAAGAAAGGGTATCCCGAAGGTCAAGCATAAGGCCCCCGCAACAAAAAACAGACCTAAAACACCAAACTTTTCAATATTCAACCCTAAATACGTCATAGCAACACCCTCAACAGGTCAAAATCTTCAGCGAAGTTGCCGGAAATTCGCTATAGACTATTGCGCGTTCAACATGCCGGCGCAAAGGTTGGTCGCCCAAAAGGCCTCGAAGGCGCTAGACCTCCAAGCTAATAAGATCGCGACTCTCGAAGCGAAGGTTCAATACCTTCAATCCAAAGTCAAGAAATCGATCAAACCGAAAAGAAAGAAGGTAAAGACGACGCCCAGGCACAAATTCGCAAAGATGTCAAACGTACGAAAGACCAAGCGTAGGGTACGTAGTAGGAGGATTTATAAGGACGAGGCAAGCGATTACGAGGTGCCTGGAACCTTGGAAAACCTGTTAGAGATCATTCAAGAGGATATTTCGGAGCCTGAAGACTGTATTACGGCTGTAACCGCCTAAAAACAGCGATCGCGATCGTTTTCGTTGAAAAATACGGCTTCAATTGAGTGGTGTTGGGTGGGTGGTGGGGTGGCCCGTGACGTGGTGGCCCGGGACCCTTGCGATTTGCTTATCCCAGACCTGTCTTCAATTAGTGCCGAGCAAGGTAACGTAGCCCCGATCCCTAGTCTTCACGTCGCTAATATTGGCTCCGGACAAGCCTGTAAGGAATGTCGTAGGAGGAAATCTAAATGTGATAGAGCGATCCCGTAAGCGCACTGCTTGGGTCTCTCATGTTTCACTCTAACACTGACAACAGAGCTTGCCAGCCATGCGTCAAATACCGTAGGCACTGTCTCTACGAGAAGCACTCGCGCACGCCACTTACGCGCAGGTATCATCCATCTACTGCTCCATGACAAGGTGCTGTGAGAACATGGACTGATGTGCCTCAGGCATCTCACAGAAGTGGAGGAGAAACTCGAGCGCGCGAAACTTGTAATCGCTCAGCTCCGAGCGCAGGCGTCTGCCTCCCTACCTTTACCACCTGAAAGCACCCAGCCTATTCAGGGGTTTGGTCCTGAGTTAACTCGGCCGGAACACTTCTCACAGTCTTTTTTGCCCGCTAGTGAGTCTGACCAAAATCACGTAGGATCGTTAACTCGACGCCACTCAGGCCGCAGCGATATAAATCGGCCTCCAGCTCAGTCTTGGGACAGCTACATCTCGCAGGTTGACAGCCCCGACGTCAGAGAATCGGCAAGCAGCTCACAGGATGTTCGAGACATTCTTGAAGCTTCTCCCAAAGATGAATTTGAATGGGATGAGCAAGAGGCCATGACCAGCAATTCTGCTTCGCCTGATGTGATAGGCAATACCATCGAGGACGGAAATGAGTCAGCCATCACTGATGGTATGGCATCTCTGGCGGTTAACGAAAGAGAATCCGGGTATCTAGGCGTTGCATCAGGGGCTGCACTACTCCGAATATTTGCGACAACGCCTAGAGTACGTCTCGATTTCACCACCTCCCGGGCTTCAGGCCAGATCCGCGAAAGACGCCATTCTCTAATATCGCAGCCGGACACAACTTGCCTAATCGCCGATGCAATGATTGATGCGTATTTCAGCCAATACCATTTGAGCTACCCTATAATCCATGAACCTACCTTCCGTGCTCAGTATTCTGAGGTGATACCGCGTCCCCACGGCGACTGCTGGTTTATTTTAGCCTACATGGTGGCAACTATCGGTGTTTGGACGACGGCAACGAATCTCGAAAATCTTGATATCGAACTCTTTGCTCAAGCACGAGCTCTATTATCCTTCAATGTCCTCGAAGTTGGAAATATTACACTGGTTCAAGCTTTGACGTTAATATCGAATTATGAACAGAAGAGAAACAAGCCAAACTCCGGTTACAATTACAGTGGCTTGGCGATGCGTGTAGCAATGGGGTTGGGACTACACAAAGAGTTTCAAAACTGGAACATCTCGCCTCTTTCAATGGAGATCCGGCGCAGAATCTGGTGGTCTCTCTATATCTTTGAGGTCGGAGCGACTATCACATTCAGTCGACCTCATTCATGGCCACGCGAAGGGGTTGAAACGTCGTTACCTCTGAATATCGATGATAAAGTAAGTTCTCTTCATAACTGGAATATCATCTAGAATACCTTTTTTGACAGTCACTAGTCTTTGACTGCCCTTTCGAAAGTGTATCCGAAAGAAGTTGATGAAATCACGCCCTACACGGCTCTAATCACACAAGCAAAGTTCCATACGGCCACAACTCCCATATATTGCCGTGTCATTTCCAAACCTCCCCCCTCCGCTAATGAACTTCTCAGTATGGAAAGCAGGCTTATCGAGCCATGGTTGAGAAGCCTGTCTCAATACTTTTCTGAAGACACCGAGACTTCTCAGAGGTATCGTCACGCCAATTTAGTCATGAAGTGGAGGTTACGGAACTTCCGAATCATCATGTACCGGCCTTTCGTCATCCGGAAGGCTCTTAACGCCCGCGATCATCGCTATCCTGAGTCGCCAGATGACCTGAGAGCGTATGATATATGCCTGAATCAAGCCAGAGAGACAATTACTAGCATCAGCACCCATGTCGCTGCGACAAAGTGTAATCGCTTAGAGGCGTGGTATACACTGTGAGTTTGCAATTTGAATTTGTAGTGTACCGCAGATACTAACATAAAAGTAGTTATTTCCTTTTCCAAGCTGCCCTAATACCATGTATTTGCCTCCGAAGTGACCCCGGCTCATCTGCTGCCGATGATTGGAAAGAGCAAATCGTTTCGGCATGCAAATCGATCGCAGCTCTAGCTTCACTAAACTCAAGCTCAGCACGGTGCTGCCAAGCTATAGCAGAACTTTGTGGCCAATTTGTCGACATTTCTCATCTGTATCGCCAAAATACCTGTCCATCAGATCAGAGTCTATACGATGAATCTAACCAACCCGAGCCGGCCACAGGACAACATATTATGCCAAACTCGTCACATCCTGTTGGCGAAAGCTCTCAAGGCAGACCAGATGAACATTTGCCTTTGTTCTGGCCTGGCACTGGTTCATTCAACACAGCAGACGTGTTCATGGAGGACGAGGCTTGGACTAATCTTCTGCGGAGTACTGCAGATGAATGGTGGCCTGATGGCTCATGAATGAGATTCCATGCAGTGAAACACTACAGCTATGGCGATAGGCAGAACTTTCTTATCAACAAACTTGCTGAACAGTGCCACATCAAGGGGTGAACACCAACTATAACTTAATCTCGTCTGGGCCCTTAAGGCAGGGTGTATCCGCCATCGATAACCATATTAGCTCCTGTCTTTTGCGTTAGCGTTTGATCAGAATTGGGTGAAGGGCACTCTCACCTGTCATGTAACTCGATGCTTCGCTTGCTAGAAACACATAAGCGCCCTTCAATTCGGAAGCCTGGCATAATCTACTCGCAGGGATCATCGAGAACCACTTCTTCCTCCATTCTTCGGGGTGCACGGAAAGCACTGCCCCTATTAGTACGATTTCCTGCTCCCACTTGAACGGCACTCCAACTCACTATCTGTCGCTATGAATCCAGGGGAAATACAGTTCACCCTTGCGAAATCAACCCATTCAACCGACAAAGACTTTGCTAGGTGTATGACGGCTGCCTTGCTTGCATTGTAAGCGGACTGCTGCTGGGGTACATTCACAAGAATACCCGAGACACTGGCGGTGAAGATAATAGACCCCCGACCATCGCTTCCGGCTTTGAGCTGTCGTTCGAATACTCGCGCGGCTGCCCTCGCAGTCCAGAACGCGCCATGAAAATTGACGTCGAGCATCTCGCGCCACTCCTCATCTCCGTATTGGATGGCAGGGTAATGAGCCGCAATGCCGGCGTTCGCGACAACGATGTCGAGTTTGCCATCTCCAATCTCTCTGGTAGCTTTCTCAACAAGTTCTTCGACTTCGGTTGGGGATTTGACGTTGCACTTGTATGCCTGAACGAGGACGCCATTTCCGGATTTCGAGACTGCGGCAGCAATTTTGTCCGCCTCGGTAGGGTCGGTGGAAGTGTAAGTGATGGCAACCTTGGCTCCGGCTTCAGCCAAACTTCGTGCGGCTTCTAGTCCTATTCCGCGCGTACCTCCTGTCACGATAGCCGTCTTTCCGGCCAAATTGAAATGGGAGAAGACAGGGGCGTCTGGGTTAGAGTGCTCAGGGAGAACCATGTTCAGAGATGTGGCCGCAGCAGTTAGGAGCAATGGATCATAAATGTTTCAAAAGCTAGTGAAGTTGCAAAAGGATTTGGGTAGGATCCTTTGATAGCAAATATCCCATGCCATTATGTACTTGGCCATACTCGTACAGCGGAGGGCTGGACAGGTTCCCCGCTGCCCTTCTCCGTGAGCTTAAGTCCGGAGTGGACACCGGACGATTGTCACCCTCTCCTATCCCCTACAGCATCGGAATCGCTACGTGTTATCGCGTGTCACCCCTCATCATGAACTGTTACTTGCTTGTGTTGCTCGATTCATTTCATTATATAGTCGCGTAGAAATTTCAGTATCCACGAGACCGTCGAACATCCTGTCACATTGTGAATGACTGTAACACCCTCGCGTCTTGATCCCGATAGCTCATCGAATCCTAGAACTTGCTAAAAATATTGAGGGGGACTGAGCATATGATTAGGCAATGTCCAAATGGAATCCACATCGCTAGCCCTTGCTTGATACATAATACCGTTCGCTGCATCGTAGCGAAGATTGTGATAGGGCATAGTAATTTTATATCTAAGTAAATTGTAATAAAAGCGTACAATCTTATATACGGATGCTAGCTCAAGACCTCTCTATCTAGCGGTATAACCACCATCAATAACAAAATCAGCACCAGTAGTGTAAGATGAAGCATCGCTCGCGAGATACAAGTAGATACCCTTCAGTTCTCTCGGGTCAGCATCTCGCCTCATAGGGGTCAGACTGAACCACTCTTCCTTCATCTCAAAAGGACAGTCACCAGAAATGGCCGTATCGATATAACCAGGAGACACTGAGTTGATACGACCTCCCCATTTTGCCCATTCGACCGACAGAGATTTGGCGAGGTGTATCTGCAGATAGTTAGACGCGCTTCAATCTTTCTTCTGATAACGTGGACAGATAACTTACGCAGCCAGCCTTACAGGCGTTATAGCAGCTCTGTTCCTGTGGTACGTTGGCAGCATGGCCGCTCATAGAAGCAGTAATAATGCCCACACCACTCTTCTGCCCCCTAAAAACGAGACCGGCGGCGCGCATACAATAATAAGCGCCGTCAAAATCAATGGCGCGCACACGATCCCAATCCTCAATCTCGTCGTCAAGACCACCAGCCTTGCTAGGCACACCGGCGTTGGCAATAATGACATCTAGGCGTCCAAAGTCTTCGACAGCCTTGGCGACGGCGGCCTCAACCTGCTCGTAATTCCGAACATCGACCTGGTATGTGTTTGTCTTGACATTGAATTTCTCAGCGATCTCTGCAGCAAGGGCATCTGCCGTCTTAGAGATATGATACCAAATCGCAATCTAGCAGCATGTCAGCTTTTTAACTTTTTTTTTTTTTTTTTTTTTTTTTTTTTTTTTTTTTTTTGGAATCTGACTGAACTGAAGAGACTTACGTTCGCGCCCGCCTCAGCCAATCCCCTTGCTACCTCGGAGCCGATGCCGCCAGCTCCGCCGGTGATGATCACTGTTCGCCCATCAAGGCGAAATTGCTTGAAAACACTGTCTTGTACAGAAGGGTTTGGGGCACGGATGCTCTTTTGGGTCGTCATTTTGATGGAACTAGGCAAAATGTGTATGCAGTGTATAGTTTGGAAGCTGGCTTGGGTGTCTAGATAGGATACGATATTTTTAAATAAGGTTTACACTTTAAAGTGATCAAACCTCTACCGAGAAGTAGTTTGCACCTAGCAACAAAAAGTATTGCGGAAGTTGCCGGCCTCTGATGGCCGTTGGCCGTTGAATCCCCTGGGGGTCCCTTTCACCCCATTTGGCAGCGACCGAAGACATGATACGGCGCACGGATACCGAGGTAGCCTCATAAGCCATTTTTGAAAGAAAAAGACATGATTAATGTCATATTTTCATGAGTTAGTTTCGGTTATGTGTAACCGCTCCCGGAAGCGATTGGGTGGAGGGTGACTGTCACCCTATCCGACGACTCCAACAATGCGGGGGCGGTCGGCCGTTAGCACCGAGGCCGTAGTAACGGATTCATTGCACATAAGGGATTGAGTGCAGAGCCGCATCTCGATCGTTAGATCCCGATCAGCTCACTGCAGATGCGTACCTCACCATGTCGGAAACAGTATGTAGCAAAATATCTCAATCTCATACAGGCTTGCTAACGATTTGTACGATAGAACCCAGCTTTTGTACTGCAGGAGTTGAAGAAGGTCTCTTTTGAGAACCGCCCTATACCTAAGCTAAGAGATGAACATCATGTCCGTGTTCACATTGAACAGACAGGTATCTGTGGCTCTGATGTCCACTACTGGCAGAGAGGGCGTATCGGCGATTTCATCCTTGAGAGTCCCATCGTTCTTGGCCATGAGAGCTCTGGCACTGTAGTGGAGGTTGGAAATAAAGTGAAAAATGTCAAGGTGGGAGACCGAGTGGCAATTGAACCCGGAGTTCCATGTCGGCACTGCGATTACTGTCGCTCAGGCATGTACAACGTCTGCGAAGACACCATCTTTGCGGCAACTCCTCCTTGGGATGGAAGTAAGCATCTACTGAATCCCTCGCTGCATTCATGAAACTCACTCGTCGCGTCTAGCTCTGCAGAAATACTACATCGTAGCAGGCGACTACACTTACCCAATCCCCGACCATATGTCTATGGAAGACGGGGCCCTTGTCGAACCTGTTGCAGTGGCCGTACAGATCTGCAAAGTAGCCAACCTCAAAGGCGGCCAAAGCGTGCTTGTGTTCGGCTGTGGGCCTATTGGCATTTTATGCCAGGCAGTAGCCAAAGCCTACGGGGCGAGCAAGGTCATCGGTGTCGATATATCTGAATCCAGGGCCAAATTCGCTAAAGACTTTGCAGCCGATGAAGTCTTCGTCTCAAGAAAAGACCCCGAAGCACCTACAGACCCAGTCGAGGCCGCACGCGCACTGGGAGAAAAGATTGTAAAGACTTTTGGGCTTGATGGGGCCGATGTCGTGCTTGAATGTACAGGGGTCGAGAGCTGTATCCAAGCAGGCATCTATGCAGCGAAAAAGGGGGGCACATTTGTTCAAGCGGGAATGGGAAAGGAGGTTAGTCACATCTGAAGCCAACTGATCAATTAGACTTCTAGTGAACTAACAATGATTAAGAATGTTGTATTCCCCATTACAACGGCTTGCATTCGAGCTCTCACTATAAAAGGGAGTATAAGATATCAGTCAGGTTGCTATCCGGAAGCTGTCAAATTGGTTGCATCAGGAAAGGTCAATCCGCGTAAACTCATTACCCATCGTTTCAAGTTTGAGGAGGCCGAGGAGGCGTTCGAAATGGTTAGAAAAGCAGAGGAAAATACACTTAAGGTCGTGATAGAAGGAGTGAGATCCTAGTCTAAGACAATTGATGAGGAATTATGCAGCTCCTGTAATGCACACCCTGCCACGATGACTTCTAGCCTGTGTTAGTATATTCGTAAAGACATCTGATCGATTGATCAACATATCCCACCGTTATGTGTATCGTACTCAATCTACCTCTTCCCACCACTAAGGGAAGGACTAGTATTCCTTTATCTCCTAGCTAGTATGAGACATTTTGGTGGACTCTGAGCGTCTAGGGTACCGACCTGCTTGTATCATACAGTAGATCTAATCTACTACCTATGTAATCGGACGTCATGAGATCTTGGAATGTGGGTTGATAGGTCCGGTTCTGGTTAGCTTAGGGTGACTGTAGTCCGTTCTCCATTCCTGCACCCCAGAATTCCCGGGCGAATAAGCAAAAGCCCATAACCAAGATTCGGATGCTATTACACGACTAGTGCTGTGCAACCCCATGGGGACAATGCTTTCGCGGAGCTTTTAGGACACTATACTAAACGTAGTCGCTCTGACAGAGGAGGTACTGAAGTCTCGCAACGGTCGTGCGACTCCATGTTATTGTTACCTATATAAGGATCAGTCCCGCCGGCCTCTTCAATATTACAATTCAACAAGCCTCTAATCATCAGCTTAGTAACTTCTGTAAACAAATATCAACAATGAAAGACTCTTCAATCGTAGGCGAGGCACTCGCCCAGGTGATGCCAAGGACGAATAAATATTGGTTTCAACAGCCTCATCTCCTAAAACTCAACCTGCTACTCCTTATGCCTCTTCTGTCATCTTCTGTTGCTGGTTATGATGGTAATACACCCACTTCGTTATAAGCCCCGTATTCTTATAAAGTACATTAACATGATAAGCTAGGATCTCTTATGAATGGATTGCAGTCTCTGGAGCAATGGCAAACCTACTTCGGAAGCCCTAGTGGTGCCACTCTTGGTCTTGTGAATGCTGCACAGGCTATCGGCTCTGTCTTGGCTCTTCCTTTCGTTGGCGTTCTAACTGACAAGTTTGGTCGCAAGCCATCGTTATTCCTGGGTCTTGCTATCATCATCGTGGCAACTATTATTCAGGCGACATCCTTTAATTTGTCACAGTTCATCATCGCACGCGCAATCGTAGGGTTTGGTGGAATGTGTAAGTCGCGCAGATCTACTAATGACATGATGCAATACTGATCTATCAAATTTGCAGTTTCTGTCCACCCAAGCCCGCTACTAATTGCCGAGCTGGCCTATCCGACACACCGTGGCAAATACACATCTGCGTTCTGGACTATGTACTATCTTGGTAGGTAGATCTAACTTACATGGCGGCACAATCAATGCTAATAAACGCATTAGGCGCTATATTGGCCTCATGGACGACCTTTGGATGTCAGAACTATCAGAGCACCTGGGCATGGCGCATCCCTTCGATCCTCCAAGCTGGCTTCCCCATAATCCAATTGATTTTCTTCTATTGGGTCCCTGAATCTCCGCGTTGGCTAGTCTCGAAGGATCGCACAGTAGAGGCCACGGAGATTCTTTCGCGATATCATGCTCCAGATCAAGGTCCTGGCGAGTCGCCCCTGGTACGATACCAACTCGAGCAAATTGTACAGACGCTACGACAAGAAAAGATAGCAAGCAGTGCTGGATGGAGCGCATTGATATCAACACCAGGTAATAGGAAGCGGACCCTTATCGCGTTCTTAGTCGGCTTCATGGCACAGTGGAATGGAGTAGCTGTTGTCTCGTACTATCTTACGCTAGTTCTGAGAACAATTGGAATCACGTCGACTTACACGCAAACACTCATCAACGGACTGTTGCAGGTTTTCAATTTTGCATCAGCTTTAGGAGCAGCATTCTTAGTTGATCGTTTAGGCCGCAGGACGCTGTTCCTCTGGTCAGGCGTTGGCATGCTGGTCTCATATATCATCCTGACAGCATGCTCTGCCGTAGTGAGTATTTCAGGCAACCAATCGGCCGGCATCGTTGTCGTCGTGACGTTGTTCACTTTCTTCTTTCATTACGATATTGCGTATACGCCTCTGCTCTTCGGTTATCCCACTGAGGTCTTGCCCTTTAACATCCGCGGAAAGGGGCTAACGGTCGAGCTGTTCGGCATATAGTAAGTGATTCCATGCCTAACAACGCTCTCCCACTTTTGACTATCCCTTCTGCCACGGCACAGTTTCTCCTTAAGAGATATATGTATAATTTCATTGACCATTGGCGATCACAGCGGCTCTCTCACTTTAGTATCCTTTGTGAACCCTATTGGGCTAGAGAACATTGGTTGGAAATATTACTTGGTATTTAGCGTCCTTCTGGTGATCTTCCTTGGAATCACTTACTTTCTCTTCCCAGAAACAAAAGGCCATACTTTGGAAGAGATTGCCGTTTTATTTGATGGACCTCAGGTGCTTGGTGGTGATCTTGGCAAAGCCTCATCAAAGGACCCTAGCTCCGACATCCAGCATTACGAAGGAGTTTAAAAGCTGTACCCTAACCCCTTTTATTGCCAGTACTACTCAATGCTGATAATATGCTTCTTAAAAAGAATGTTCTATAAACTCGTTATTTAAATATCAAAATATTCATTTCCCTTCATTGACCTCTACGCTTTCAACCCAAATATTGGGTTTGAGTGAATGCCTACGGACAATAGTGCCGTGTTGCAAGTCATTCGACCTTGCTCTGCCAATAGCTGCCTCCATAGTAGCCTCAGTTCCTGCTGTAAGGTGTCTCCTAGCGATGCGGCGTGATGCCAATTCTTCGTCAACATCCACGAACCAGGTATCATCTACGTTTTCTTGAATCTGCTTCCAAGGGTCGCTGTCTAACAAAAGCCAATTTCCTTCGATTATGACGATTTCTACCTCGGGCTCAATTCGTATTGCGTTCGGTATAGGGTCTTTAAGCTTGTGGTCAAAACTTGGGGCGAAAATTGTTGAAGGCTCAGAGGTCTTCTTGGAAATAGATAACATCTGCACGAGAGCCACGACTCCATTGGCGTCAAACGTCCACTCGGCTCCTCGACAGGCATGTGCTTCAACCCGGTTCGGGAGAGTATCGAGATATTCTCGGGTATAGTGAAATCCATCCATGGCTATGCAAATAGCCACAGGGCGTTGGAGTATTGAGTTGATCCTCTGTACGACTTGGCTCGCAATAGTTGATTTGCCGGAGCCTGGAGAACCAGAAACGGCTATAAGTATTCGATGTTGACCCGAATTCCTTACCAGTTTTTGGTGGACATGAACAGCCCGCTGGGTAAGTGAAGAGTAAACCTGCTCCATGAGATATTGAACAACGGTGATAAGGAAACAGAGTTATCTGATGCCGTCAGGGGCAACTTGCAGTTTTTCATCATAAGTGCCCTATATATTACTTATTGATGAGGCTCAGGAGAGTGACGAGTATAATAACAATGCTAGAGTTTAAGAGAAAACGGACGCCTCTACTCCGCCACGTGGATAACACCGCGCCGAAACCTTAAGTCCTACGGACTAGAGTCACCCTTACCTAGCTTGATCCACCAACTCACCCATTCACCCTGCAAGCCAAAGTAGCAGTTACTGTGATCTAAACTAATTGTGACTAAGCATAATATTTACAGCTACTGGTAGTGTTGAGGAAGTAACATAGAAAGATTCTAGGTAGGGAATGAAAGGTTCAAAAACGTATTTGTGAGATGAAATTAATAGACTAAGTACAGCGGCGGTGTCTAACTGACACAAAATTTCTTGACGTAAATGCTCGGCCACTACCAGGTTGGTTGCCCACTTTTCTCCCAAACGCTGCGAGCTCGAGCTTTAAGTTATTAAGTACCGCTGCAAGTCCTTCTGGCTCAACCGCTCTTGTCTCCGCGGCCAGTCTATTTCGAGTCACTCGCCGTAAAACCCTTATTCTTATATGCCGTTGAATTCTATTGCGTCGTATTCTTTTTCCATTGCTTTCATACACTTCATTTTCGCCTTCTTGAATGGTTTCTCCTTAACTCCGCCTTCATGGCCGGTTATTTACTGCGACTGGCTCGCCTTCCTCAGGTAGCCTGACGCGTAAAGCTGTCCCCATATTTATAAGCTCCCAACTGAATGCGCGATGAATAAGAAGATTAACGAGGGTGAGCAAGAAGCCTATGATGGTAATGGAAGTGAGCAACTTCCACTTGACATCTGAATCTAGTTGCTCATATCCTTGCGTCACATTCTCGTAAGTGAATCCATGCTGCACTATTGCCGTTTTCATTTTCTCAAACGTAAGCCCAGTCAAATAATTGAGTGTGTCGAGAAGGATCCCGATTACTGCTCCAGCAGGGGTAAAAATGACTCCAAGTACCCATTGTGAATAATCGAGAATGGGTATCATGAACCATTCGAACCCAAACCGAGTAGCCATAAACTTCATTTCCAATATCACCCGCTCATATGACCCGACAAGGGGTTCCTTCGAGTCCGACGAATCTATCCGATTAGGATCCAGTTTACTGCGCATCCGGCGTACTGACCGTAGCAGATCGTTTATAATCTCGTACACAAAAATATCGATCGGTTCTTCGCCCACTTGCATGCAGTTTTGCTTAGGGCAGTCCCAACTTCGTAATTCTTCTGCGTAGCGGGCCCACTCAGGCATAATCCTCATAATTTGATTGTTTTCCAAATACCTGCTCAAATCGGCCCAAACTACGTCCAGGAGGTCCAGCAAAAGGCGAAGACGCTCATCCCAGTCTGTGGAATTCGCCTCATTCACGTTGATCTCAATTAATCTGTCCTGCAACCTATGCAGCGTCGAACACGCAAATTGCATTGGCTTCAGGACCAGGTCGTCTAGCTCTCTACGAAGTTCCCAGTACCCTCTCTGTTTGTATCTTCTTATGATAGTATCGTTATTGCTGCGAGATAGACGGTCTAGTTCGTGAAGCTGGTGCACTGCAGACTCCCACTGCTCCAGGTTGATACCTTCTGAGACATTGAATGGTGGATGTAGTACAGAGGCACCTTCGTAGAAGCGTGTGAAATCGCAGTCTTTCTCATCGATTCTCAGGCTAGCATTCCTTCTTTCAAGAGTAAGAATAGGGGGGCTGTACCAAACCGTTTCCACTGTTGTATGGGTGGTTGCTGAAGCGGTGAAACTTCCAGTGGCAATGGGAATAGTAACGGAATGTACTATTGTGGTTCTGGGTGCTGTATTTTGTGTGGATACCAATGCAGGGTGGTTGCAAGCTTCGGAGAAAAGCCAGGGCCAATTCTCATTGCGGAACACTATTAACGTGTTAAATATTTCGCTGTTTAGCCAGAGTGACACAAGTAAGGCCAGCGCCCGAAATATAATAACCATGGTTGACCCGGGACGTATAGGCCCTGCCTGGAATTCGTTGGTGAACAGGACACCTAGTGCACTGTATATGACCAAGTGCCAATATAAATCAAGGATACTTTATAAGGCTTGCTGTGAAAAACCTGCCAATTGAGAGTATCAGCGGTAGGCCCAAGGCGCACATTTTTGTGGCTTTTAAAAAGACGCCGGATGTAGTTAATCCAGTTGGCGCCCTTTGACTCGTAGTGACGCGAACACACGCGCCTTGGGCATTGTTCCATAAATCAAAGAACACAGGTGCCATTGACAATGAACAACACTGTTACAATTTTTGCTATCATCGAGAACAATTGGGAAAGCAGTCAGCATGGTATATACAACAGTAATTGCTAGGCAATAACATCAAAGCTAAGGATAATCTCAATTGGCTTAAATTGGTGAAGATTATATGTCCCTTTAAGCGCAATTTTGAACATTTGGTTACGAGTAGCGGTACGACAGACTTATAGGCTCTCAGCCTCCTGCCCCTTAGCTGCGTTCTCTTCGTGACCTAGCTGCCAAGCCTGTTGTGCTATCGACATAATATTAACAAACTGAGGCATAGTATTGAAAGGAAGAGATGTCAAGAGTAGTACATATAATCCTATTAGATTATCTAGAAGTCTAAGTTACAATATAGTTACCTAGCTAGATGAAGGTCTTATATATAAATTCCTAGCATTTTAATATGTAGAATGCAAGTATTACTACCTTCCCTTTTTAATATTCCCTTTTGATCTTTATATTGGTTAATGCTATAAATCTTAATCGATTCCCTTTTAAGGGTAGCTCCCTTTAAGGTGAATTAAATGGTTATATTAAATAATATAAGGGTAATGTTTTAAAAAATACCTATTAAAATAAAATAAATAAGGTAAGACTTTTTTAAAAGTTAAGTTATCTATAACTATTAAAATGGTAAATAAAAGTAATATTAAGTTTTTTAAAATAGGATAACGCATCTCCCACTTGACCTGGCCACCCAATTGACCTGGCCACCCCTTTAACCTATATAAAATCCTATTATTTTCATCTATAATAACTTTACGAATACTGGTCGTACGATTTAATAATTAGTACCGTTAAATCCGTTAGTTCAAGGGGAATCCAGAGGTATTTTTTACTATTTTTTACAAAATTTATTAAGCGAGATATTAAGCAATACGCTAAAGGGGCGCTAAGCAAGGATTACTTTAGCGCTTACTTTAGCGTATTGCTTAATAACTCCGCGAATATAGGTCGTATAAATTAATGAAGGGTACCGTTAAATAGCTCTTTTTATTACGAATCTAACGGTATATTTTATTATTTTATACGGCCAATACTCGTGAAGTTATTAAATTATCACGTGATTAACGCACCGACGTTATTTGTATGGGCTAGGGGGGTGGCCAGGTCAATTGGGTGGCCAGGTCAAGTGGGAGATGCGTTATTATAAAGGGTAAAAGTCCTATTAATATTGCTTTTAAACTATTATTTATAATATAAAGCTTTTAAAATTAAAGTATTATAATATATAATAGCTATAATATATTATATATTTATTATTTTTATATAAATATAAATGTTTTTATAAATATTCTTTTTTCCTCTTTTATTTTTATATTATTTATATATATTTTTATAATATATCTTTCACTTAATTTAGCTACCTAATTAACCTAGCTACATTTTTAACCTTTATATATATATTTAAAAATATTTTAATAATTATTTATATAATTAACTTAAATTAATTTAAATTTAAATTATTAAACGTTTTTATAACATTTTTATAAATTTATACATTATAGCTAGGTTTATTATAAGCTCTATAATGCTAGGTATAAGTTTCCTTTCTTTTTATATAATAATTACTTTAATATATAATATAATTTTTTACCTTAAAAATACCTTATACCTTTATTTAATCCTTAATATTTTTAATAATAAAAGATCTTTTATTTTATAATTTAGTTCTTTTTATATAATAATATTTATTAAACTTATAATTTACTTTATAAAAGCTTTTAACCTTCCTTTTTAATAATGCAAAATAATATATAACATTAATTATATTATATATAATTTAGCTTAACCTTTTAATAATAAATATAAAAAAGCTATTTTAATATTATATAATCCTTTATTTAATATATTTAAAAAGGGAATTAACTTTAATTAAATTATTTAAAGTTATAATTATATAAGGATTAAATAATATTAGGGATAAAGGGTTAATTTAAAATATAATTAAATAATTTAATTAATTAATAATATAATTTAAATTATATAATATTAAACTTATTCCTTTAAATTCCCCTTATATATTATTTAAAATAATTACTTTATTAAATATATAAAAAATATAGTTATAAAATCTTCCTTTTAAATATAAGTAATATATACCTATATAAAGCTTTTAATTTACTTTCTATATAATTATTTTAAAAGGTTAAATACTTTAATATTAAATAATTAAAGGTAATAAAAAAAATAGAAAGGTATATAAAAGGTAATAATATTATTTTTTTTATAATATAATTTAAATTTATATAAATAATAACTTTTATAACTATTAAGGAAAAAAAGGTAATAATATTCTTTTATATAAAGCTTTATATATTTATTAAAATATTTAATTTAATTTATAACTTATTTATTTATTATCCAACTATTTTTTATAATTATAATCTTTTAATTATTTAATATATTATTATTTTTATATTAAAATATAAAGTAGTTTTTTCCTATTAAAATAATATATAATAAAATAATTTAACTATATAATAAAATTATTTAAATAATTATAAATTATTTTAAATTGCTTAATTAAATAGCTTATAGTTTTTATTTATGTTTAATTAAAGTTATAATTATTTTAAATATAATTTTACCTATTATAAACCTAGTTTTATTAAAGTTATAAATATCTTCTTTTTAAATATTATTTTTATTTATTATCTTTTATATAAAGATAAATTAAATGTAATATTTAATTAGATTTTCATTTAATACCTATTAATAATTAATTTTTTAATTAAAATATATTTAAATATTTAAAATTTATTATATAAAGTTTAACATTTAATTCTTTTTAATTAGCTTTTAACTTTATAATATTATTAATTAATTAGTTATATCTTTTATATAATTATATAAAGGTAGAAATAATTTTACTATAAAATTAAAAATATATTATATAATTAATTATTCTTTATTTAAAGTTAATTGGGCTTTTAAAAGTAACATTTTATTTATTAGTTTAAAACCTTTCGTTTAAAGGGTAAATATTATATAAAAAACATTATAAATAATAATAATATATTAAATAAATAATTTTAGGTTTTATTTAATAGTTTGGAATATAAGCTATAGGTTGCTTTCTTTATAAAGGGTTTCTATAATTATTAATAGAAAAATGAAGGATTTTTTTTATATGCATATAAAGGTTAAAAATATAGCTAGGTTAATTGGGTGGCCAAATTAAGTGGGAAATGCGTTAATTACTTTTTTTAATAATTAATACTTTTATTAAGGTATAAATTATAAATAGCTTATAATTTATAGGTTTTAAATTTTTAAAAAAGATATATTACCTATTTTATATTATATTTTAATTCTTTTTATAAAGTAATATATATATTTTTTTTACCTATTTTACTATTAATTTATATTATATTAAATTATTAAACTTATTAACTTTATTTTAAAATAGTTATAAATTAACCTTTAAAAACCTTATAGGGCTTTTTTAACTTTTATACCTTTTTTTAATTAATTATAAAGGTTATAATTTTAAATTACTATATATTTTCCTTTTTAACTTTTTTCCTTTATTATAATAATATTAAAAGTATATTAAACTTTATTTTCTACCTTTTATTTAATTAATAAACCTATTATAGGTATAATAAATAAAGCTATTATAATTAAATTATTTAATTTTATAATTAATTAAAACTTTTTTAAAGTAGTTCTTATTATTATATTATTATATTAATTATTTTTATAATGTTTTAAATATTATTAATATTAAAAAGTTTTAATAAAGGATATAAAGTATAAATAAATATATACTTTATTATTTATAGGTAAGGTTAGTTTAAAGTAACTTTAAAAAGTTAATAGTTTATTATTATTATATTATTAAAGGTATTTTTTAAAGGTTAGTTTTATTATATTTAAATATATAGGTATTTAAAAGATTTAATTTAAGTTAATTAATAATATTTATTATTTTACTTTTTAAAGTATTATTTTAAAATATTTTATAGTTTTATTTTAAACTTTTTTTAAGTTATTATTAATAATTTTTTTAAGCTTATATTTATTTTATAGTTTAATTTTTAATAATTTAAATTTTATATTTTTAAATTATAAAAATAATTTTTATATTATTTATTATTATTAAAGGATATAGCGGTAAAAGTATTTTAGCTTAATTTAATTTTAATATAGGAATTTTTATTTAACTTTATATATAAACTATTTTAGCTTTATTATTTATTTTAAGCTTAATAACTTTTTAAACTTTTTAAAGGTTAACTTTAATAGTACTTTTATTAACTTATTTATTATTTAATTAATAGTTAAAATATATTTAAAATTAACTTTTTTAATAGTAATTTATTTTTAATATTATTAATTTTAAATTAATATATATTTTCCTTTATTATAAAATAATAAGTTATATAAAGTTAAAATTACTTTTTAATTATTATTATAAATAATTATAAGTATATTATTTAAATTAATATTTAATTTAACTAATAGTTTTTATATTTAAATAGCTTTTTTAATAATTTAAGTTTACCCTTTTAATTTAATTTTAAATAAGGATATGTGATGGAGCGGTGCGGCGTTTTTACTAGCGGCGTAGCGCTTTTGCTAATGGTGCAGCGTTCCTAGCCAGTAGTGCAGTGTGCCCCTGACGAGGGTGTACTACGCCTTGGTAAAAGTATACCTATAAGGGCGCTTTTGGTAGGGGCGTTACACTCCAA